TTTGCAATGCTCCCTACAGACACCGACAATGCTATGTCAGGAGTGGCAGTAAAGTACTTGAGGCCCATCTTTTTTTTTTTTTTGCATCAGATATGTATGTGTTGACGATGACATCTTTAAATGATATTGTGATGTGTGGTAGCAGCAGAGAGCAGGTGGAAGAGAAGCCATTGAGATCAGGCTAGCACGATGAACAGATGACTGTTCTATTCAAATGCTAAAGCGTAAATCCATGTCTCTGGTCCTAAAGTTCTGTCCTTAGCCAACAGCAGTGTCCTCTGTGCGTGGTCCATCTGTTTCCAGGTTGGAGGTGCTCAGCCTCTAGTGGTGGCCTTCAGAAGTGACCTTTGTTTTAATGACAGGCTCTGCTTATCAGCCAGTTCAACCATTCTTTGACCTTTGACAAGGTGTTTTCAACTGCAGAACTGCTGATTCTTGGATACTTTTTGATGATTTTCTGTAAAATCCCTGTAGCTCAGCACTTTTCCAAATACTCCCACCAGTCCATCTGGCACCGGCGACAGTGTAACGTTCAAAGTCACCTAAATGATCTTCCATGCACTCTAGTACGTCTTCTCAACCATGTCTACATAACTATGTGCTTTGCTGCCATGTGACTGGTTGAATAGCTGTTTACAAAAAGTAGTACTTCGCGGGGCCCCCGGGGGGTGCAGTGAAATGGGCGGGAGGTTAAACATGAGATGGCTGCCAACGGAATATGGCCCACTGGACAGAAGTGTGCCACTGCTGTAATGCTTGAACAATAAATAAGCCTCTAGTCACTAGATGGCAGCATTGCATTAGCATTTTATTAATTAACTCTGACAATAGTTTGTACAAAAAAAAATTATAAAATTACCAGGCGCTCAATAGTATTTTAATTTTTAATTTTAATTTGGGGGCAGGGTGGGGGTGGGAGGCGGACTTCTGTCCCCGAGGGAGGGGGCATGGCAGAGCAGGCAACACTTAACGTTCTACCACTGTCCCGTTATGTCGGTATCGGTCAATATGTTAATATCTGAATCGAATATTAAGTGTTTGGACAATATCGGATATCTGCAAAAAGTTAATATCGGACATCCCTAAATAAAACTGCTTTTAACGTCCACTCTACTCTGTACCAGATTACAAGTACCACATACTACTGTCAGTTCAGATAGGACAAGTACAAGTGTTGTATTTCTCTACATCTATAGCAGAATTATATCCCAAAGACAGTAGAAAATGATAGACGACTTCAATCTCGCGGCAGGTCCATCACGCTGACGGCACAGCCCAGTGCACCACACAACTTGGCAACCCTGGAGTTACTTTTATCCAGCAGAGTGTGCGGTGGTTAATCAAAGCCCTTAATTTCCATAATTCATGGATGCCCATCTGTTTGCCACCTACTCCCAGCCCAGTGCAGAATAAACAAATCCAGGAGAGTGGCCAGAGGGCTATTTAATGACAGCATCAGCCAGGGCTTCTGCAACCACACACACACACACACACGCACATACACACAGGTATAATCAATCTTAAGGCACAAGTGTAATTCGTCATAGGCACAATTGTTCTGTTGATCTAAGTCGTGATAATTGCATCATAATTTACCGACTCCTACCCATCAGGCCGTGTCTTTGAGAAGACTTTCACATTCCTCATTAATTCTGTGGCCAGTTTTGTCAGCGGCGTCTGCTCACACTGTGGGATCTTTCAGTTTTACTTCTGATAAAATCTCACTGTCAGCCTCCGTGTCACTGCCAAACTTCAGACAACAAGAAGACTGAATCAGCACAGCTCAGCAGGGGCAAAAAGGGCAGATAGAGAGAAAAGTTGACACAGCCATGGTGTACAAGCCTTTTTCTTTTAAGGGTATTGAGATTAGATAATGTAAAAATAGCTGCTGTAACTAAGGCTACTTTAGTACAGCCTTAATGACAGTGAAGTTCAGGCAAATCAACAGTTAGTCTAAATATAAAAAAGTGGCTAAAAAATACGTAGCAAACAATAACTGATATTGTCATTTACAGTACAATGTTAGCAGAAATGGCTAAGATTAGGCTAAATGTGTAATGCTAACGATAGAGTACTATGGCATACTATGTAGCCATGGAATATAAATGTTGTTCAAAAGTCAGAATTTGTAAAATAAAATTAGATAGATGGAGGATGGATGGATGGATGGATGGATGGATGGTTGGATGATTAGTGAATGTTAGTAGATTAGTAGGTTAGTAGTGGATTTATTTATATATTTTATAATAATTATTATAATTAGTAGTAGTTGTAGATTAGTAGATAATTATTGTTGTCATGTGTGGTGTTGTTGATTGCCATCTCAATAATATTATATCTATAGTATGTATATGTATGTGTGTATATATATACACTGTATATTTTTGTGTAAGAAAAATTAGTATAATTAAAAAGTTGTTATGTGAACAATTATATAAATAGTTTGAATTTATAAACATTATTAATAGCTGAATAGTTAAGTAGTTAAATTAAATTAAAGTTAGCTATATAGGCAGTAATTACCTATGTAGCAAAACTACTGTAATTAAGGACTAGGTCATTAATTATGTAGCAATAAAAAGACAAATTTTACTTAAAAAAAAGAAAGCTAATCATATATCTGTCAGGAACCTGCCATTGAGTAAAAAAAAAGCTGAAAAAATGCTTATGTTTTGCCATATAATGATAAATTATTTAAGGATAACAGAAGAATAACAGGGCCTCTGCTCAAAAGAATAATGTCTTACCTAAAAGGTGAGCCATAAATAATTAATTAAAAGAAACATATCCAGGTCTACATAAACCTCTCCGAGTACCATGAACAGCCCCAGGGCCAGACTTTGAGCCTTTGGAAAGTTGATTCATCGTATAAACCAGGGATAAATTCTTTTTAAGGGAAAATATTTCTAAACTGGAAATACTGCAGTGTTTCCATGGCTGGAGGCTCGTCCGCCGCCTGCAACCTGAGAGCTGCTGTCACTTACTGCAGAGTTTTATTCCCTAATGAGATATACTGTAAGAAGCATCAGCAAAAGTGACGCTTGCTAAAAACAACAACAACAACAGCAGCAACAGTAACAGCAGGTTATTAAATCTAATGATGGCACCTCATAAACATCAGGAAGAGCCTGGAGACAAAATCAAAAACAAAACAAAAAAACTCTTGGGATGGACTGAACAGCATTTAACACTACACATCCCTCAAATTTGGGCCGGTGTAGGAGGGTCAGGGACCCAATCAGAGCCAGGTCAGAGGTGCACCTGGCTCTGGAGCTTCATTTAGAACCAGGAATCACACTGGACAGAAGCTGAGGAGACACAGCAATTGACACCCAAAGTTCTCCACAACTAAGTACCAAGAAATGTCTCTCCAACGTTGAAAATAAATGTAGAAATTGGCTGCTACAGGATGTGGAGAAAACTTTTCATCCACCCAGTGTTGGCAGAAGCCTGTCTTCCTGCTCAAAGGCTGGTGGGACAGAGAGAGGCGAGTGATCCTGACAGTTGCTGAAGTGCCGGCAAAAGAGGCTGCAGTAGCTCCTGCAATTCAGAATGGTATTAAAAATTAAGTTGTTTTTATCCTTCCTAGATGCAGAGAAGGTCATCGTTGCTTTTATCTTCTCTCCGTCAGACAACTGCAAATGTCACCCTCACGTCTCCCGCTCTCTTAGGATGCAGCACCGGCAGCAGCAGTAATAGTAGCAGTAGTTTCCCCTCTGGTCTAAGACTCTGCAAACAATTCTGCTTCATAAATCCACCAGTTCCTGTAGAGTGAATGTCACCTATGGTTCTCAGCCCGTAAAACCAGACCTCAGAAAGGTAGGCAGCATTCTGAATTCTGGGATACAACAGTGAAAGTCACACATTATTCAACAATTTTTCTCACTGACGCAGCAGAATGTAAAACCTCAGCCTGGCTCCAGAATCACTGGGACCCAGAAGCACTGCAACATTATTGGTTAGCGCTCTGCTAATATGAACAGCTATGGTTCAGAAAAAAAAAAACAAAAAACATTACTATATACAGAAGATGGCTGCCCTCTCTGGCAGTTGACAGTCAACCCAGTAAGAGTAAACAAAAAAAAAAAATAGTAATGCACAGCCAGCAGAGTTAGCCAAAATGGTAATTTAAGCCAAACTGGAAATGGCTAAATGTTAAGCTAATAGCTCAAATATAACCAATATATTATTACAATAAGTTTCAGTAAATTGACATATATTTTCTAAAACATTGAGACAGGAGTAGCTACATGTTAGCAATAATGATTTGTCTCTGGCAGCAAAATGTTAATTATTATTATTTATGTTAATTACTTTAGTGCCGCTAACTACCACTGTCGTGACAAATAATAGCACATGTAATGCGATTGGTTACTACTCTAAAGTCAGTGAAGAATAAATGAAAAAAATAAAAGAATGAATAAATATCATACCCACACACGTCTAAAGAGAAATAACCACTGTTTTGCAGTTTATTAACTTGTGCATTTTTTAAATGCCATGTATTCATTCATCATGTTTTGGATTTTTTTTTCTTCCTTTTTACACGATTGTAGCATCATAATCAAAAGAGAGAGAAAAAAAATAGAGCCAAACAATTCAGTAGCTGAAATTATAAGTAAACCAGGAGTGCAAAACAATGTGATTTTTCTGAACCCAAGTTAGTTTCAAACGATCATTAAAGCAGTGTATTCATGCTAATGTGCTTTCACAGGCCTTTCACAGGGGTCAATGGAAACCAGTGTTTGAACACCGACGTTCACCTCCGAGTTCAAACACGAGCACGAGCTGAAAGCTGCGACATTCATCAAGAGCCAGCGGAACCTTGAACTTTTTATATAAAGCTACATCTCCTTTAGTACCGAATAATTACCTGGGTTACGTTTGTTGTCTTTTGTCGATAGAAAGAGCTAAACTGCCTTCTATCCTTAATTACTTTCTGAGCGTTGGCGTCTGGGTAATTCTGTGTCTGGAAATATCCCTGAGCTGTGGCATTTCTGATTTTCTGGTGGAGCTTTCAAAGCCACTTGATGGCTGCTTCCATAATGGCTCCATCATCCTGTCAGTCGTGTGCTCCGTTATTGAACGACTGATGACAGAGCCTGGAGACAGCCATTGGCTAAATGTCTGTTGTCACGGTCCGTAACAACAGGAGTGGATTTAAAATTTAAAAATATATCTTTTTGTTTACGGGGAAATAATGTGAAGGTCTGGCTTGTTTTTTTCTGATTGTTTACACTGAGCTGCTCTTTAAACAATATTTCCATCAGCGTAAATGTCACCAGGGCTAAAAGGCCAAGGCTAAACATAAACCCGATAAATCTCAGATGAATTATCACGTCCGTGAAAAGCCAGTGATTAAGAGTCCAGACAAACACGTAGAGCAGGAATCTAACTCTCACACTCACAGCTATTTCACACTTTAGGCTACTTAAAAATACCCTACAGACTGGTGTGGTATGTAGATATGTAGATATTAGAGCAGGGTTTTTTTTTCTTCTTCTTCTCAGTAAGGCATGCTATTCATGTGAAAGGGAAGTGTGAATTTCTACAGTTACATCAATGCAAACAACGGAGCCACGGCTCTCAACAATTCCCCTGCAACACATGCTTCCGTGGAACACGTCCTGTACGTCAGAACTCAGAGATCTACCGACATGACGGAGTCACTCAGGAGGTTTCTCAGCCAGGAAATGGTAAAAAAAATAAATATCCAGGTGAAATCAAACACATAGAAAAGATTGTGTTTAAAACTCAAAAAGTTACCCAACAGTTTCCTGCACCGTATATAAGAAATGGACCAAACTGTTGGGTCGCAGGTTCAAGCAAATTGTTAGGACAAAAGTCGAAATTCAAAAATATCTCCCTGCACCCAGACCCTTAGAGAACACTCCCACGTATCCATCCCACATGATAAGACACCATGTCATGAACCGAGGTCCATTTGTGGCCCATACCAGTCTGGGCTGTACCACATGTGGGATATTTTATGTCACTGTAATGGGAACAAATTGTTGTTTCTGGGTTGTGTTAGTCCCAAAGTTGACCTTTTGGTCCAACATTAGCCCAAATCAGGGACAACTTTACAGGGTTATTGGACCTATGCCTATAAATTGTTCCACTTCTGGCCCAGAGCCTGGGTAAATGAGGCTAGCCTTGTTACAAGTTTGAAAAAATCTGTTGGTCATTTTATGTCCTAAAGTTTGGGTCAAATTAGTTGTTTTGGCCCAACATTGGGTCACAAAAGGATCCACTCTGTTTGGAGTTGGGCTGAGTTGGTTCTTAAGTCTGGGTCGGCTCGGTCTCTTTGGGCCAAAATTGTCTGGTCCAAGTTGTAGGTTGATGCTAGAAATAAATAAAGTGAGAAGTAAGACGCCCACAACAGCAGTCAGCTGAATCATATTTCAGTTGTAGGCTGATGCTAGAAATAAATAAAGTGAGAAGAAGATTATTACCGTTATATTCTTGCATTTACAATGAGTCCTATATGTATTAGAGCTGCCCCCTGTTGGTTGCCCATCTGCAGTCCACTTGAGGGTTTCCTTTTTTGGACCTGGTGGGCTACGTCCACGTCCTAAATACATGGTCATGGTTTGGCACCAAGATCTAATGCATGCACATACTGCAGGTTGTGGGTGACACGTGAGCCTCTAGTTACAGAATACATTTGTACATGTTGACAGTTGACCTACAGAAACACAATATTTAAGAAAATACATTCAGCTACTGTGTGTAGCTATAGATCACACTAGCTTTGGTTCAAATGAGACATCTTCAGGTTAGTATGACGCTGAAAAAGGCAGACGTAAGAAGAGGGGTGTGTGTGTGTGTGTGTGTGTGTGTGTGTGTTTCGGGTATAGCTGCTTTTCTGGGGATATATTTCGATAAAATGCTGTTGATCCTGTCCTTGTACAGAACTGTATAAAGGATCAAGATTAAGTTCAGAATTGAAATTAGGATTAGAATTAGGGTCAGATTAGAGTTGGATTACGATTGTGCATATATTTGTTATAGTTACGTGTAAGCCTCTGTGTGTCTTTGTGTGTGTGTGTAATAACGTCCCTGCTTCATGAACACAGTGAATCAAACGCCTCAGAAAATACGAAAATATCGCTAAAAGCTACAGAGTCGAGGCTCTTTTGAAATGAAACGTTATCATGTCGAGAGAAAAAAAAGAACAATGGCAATAGGTGCGGAGTCAAACTTTCACACAGTTAACTTTCAACTAGGATAGTATATGCTTTGTCGCCACCTAGTGGTCAGATGGGCTATTACGTCCAAGTTGGGAAGTGTTTTCAGGATGGATTTCTGCCATCACTCTGAACGGTTCACTTACAAAATACGTATGTTAAGGTTTATTTTTGTCTCCGTCGCCACATTTATTTCAAACAGGGCCTCGACGACCTCTAGGGGTCACCACTGCAGAGAAGCCACCCTATGATTTTGGCACTTCTTTTACATTAACTGCCCTCCCTGACGCAGCACATTCATACAGGCACATCCACATGCAGCTTCCTTCCATTTCACCCATCCATTAACATCTAATATATATATATATATCATTTTCCTCTTTTACTATCAATATAACTCCAAATAATGAGGCAGATTTCCTGGTTAAATCAATAGAAATTTCAAATTTGTGTCCAAAAATATAGATTGAGCCTTAACTGAATGTACTACTTGTATATGCTGATATCGATCACCATTAAATCACCTGATTTAACGCTAATACTTATTTACATGACGCATAGTGTTCAGTAGCTACTGTATCCCCCGGGTTCCGTCTTTTTTTTTTTGTTCTCAAACATCAGACCAACTGACCAGAGTAAGGCAATCAGATATGGCTATGGTGATAGCACACGTGTGACGTCACATGCTCATGCATGATTCTCTCCGTCTATGCATATGTTCACTTCCGTCCGGGATGTGTACAACGATAGAATTCGCTCTGCTGTGGCGTCTTCAGCCGCTGCAGCTGCTGACAACAGGTCTGCTGGTTTGGGTTCCGTTCCGTCACTTGTTCATTCATTTGACGACAGTCGTTAGGTTTAATGTTCGTTCGCAGATGGATGCTGACATCACTCAGAAAATCAGTCCAGAGGGATGATAAAGGATAAAGGCAGTGCAAAATAGATCAAACCTTTTTCTTTTTTTAAACCATGACCCCACTCGTCGTCCGCTGCCGTTTTTCTCAACAATTTCCAAAGTGGTGACATCAGTGGAGGAGGTTCTTAGTTCAAATAAAGGGTCTGTTTTTTTTAACGTTATGGTAAAAACAACGTGAGGTGACTGTGACAACAACTTCTCTCAGATCAAACGTAGATTCCCTCGGGGTTAAAGGTGGAGGAGGTGGTGCTTTGCAGATTGCGGAGGTCAGTGGGGAGGAGGCGGGGCGAGGCTTGTCTCCTCACAGAGTCGGGGTCTACTTCTGAAACGAGAGGAGACGCGACGATGCCCGTCATTGTACAGTCATATTTTGTCAGATTATTACATAGACTGACAGGCAGGATGTGAACAGGAACAGCAATGTGTGAAGAACTCCATCATTGTATTTTGTATGGCCAATTCAGAGGCAGAATCTAGCCAATGATGCCACTACTGTCCTAAGAAAAAAAATCTAAATCCATTAATTACAAGGTTAATTGATTTCGATGAAGAGTAAAGCCAGTGAAGACATTACTGTCCTAGGAAAAAATTGAATTAACTATTATATGCAGTAGTCAGACGAGCTACGCTTTACACTTTGAGCTGATTCATCGTGATGTTACCTTGCAGTAGAAAACTAAGTCGGGGCAGTAGGTGTCAAGAGAAGAAGAGAAAAGTAGCAAATATCAATACAAATGTTATTTTAACACTCTCATTCTCTTTGTCTGGCTTTTACTTTTTAATGCTGCCGAGCTCTGGACAGCTATTCGTCCAGATAAGACACTATCAGACTGGTCCCAGTTTTTATAGCACCGGAGCTGTAAAAGTGGATAATAGTGCAGACAAAAACAAACAGCAAGACTAGGTTTACGACTGGACTTCCCACAACCCTCTGGGGCAGACTTTTCTGTTTTGTGCCGTGCAGCTGGTTTACCATATGTTCACACAGTGACGGAGGACAATGAAGTTTGGTGAGGACTAACATGCATGGCTTTCCTATCATGTGTAAAATGAAGGTTTTTGTGTAGATCAATATGACATTTGTGCTGATTAAGCACATGTTGTGTACCGTAATATATTATGGGACAAAACATGGAAAAACTATTTTATTTTATTCTATCACTTAAACACCTTATCATGATCATAGTAATCCAGTTCCTCATTGTTAAATCTATTCAGTGCTGCTGTTTTAATTTATTTCTCTGAGCTGCTGGGAAACATTGATCCCACTTTTAAATAAATCATAAATATATTTTACCCTGACCTTTAGGTTATTAAGTGACCACAAGGTGGCACTGTCCCCATACACATATGTACACGATACGTGATGCGCCTCCCTCCAGCTGAGTTTGGATGAGAAAGTGTTGCATTAGTTTTCATTAGTTCACTTTTTTAATTTTGACGGAGAACTCGGACAGAATCAGCTGTAAACTACCACGAATCACAGTGACGTGAAGTTCTTCTTTGGACAGTTTTGCATCATATTTTGGACTTTTTTTCTTCTTCTGCTGTGTCACTCACTCTAGAAATAACAACCTAGTTCTAACATTTTAATAAAAAAAAAAAGCTGATGAGACTGACGTTCATGCATGAATTGAAGTGAACTGAAATGATCTCTTTGATTCTTGATCTTTTTTTTCCTCAAATAAATATCTTGGTACTCTTTGATTCTTGATCTTTGTGAGTCATTTTTTTTCCTCAAATAAATATCTTGGTGATAATTTAAATCTGATAAGACAAACACCGTTCTTCTTTTATTCTCTATTTGATCTTTTTTCTTTCTCTTTTTCCTCATTTCTAAACATTTTTGTGCGTGAAAATGTGTGTATTTGCATATGCATGTAAGTGTGTGTGTGTGTACACACCACTGACGTCCTCTGTGGTGGGCTGTGAAGGCAGCACAGTGACTTTGGTGCCGGTCCGCTGGATGAACTGCTGCAGGTTGACCTGTCGCAGCTCCTTCGTCAGCTGCTCCAGCTCCTGCTCTTTCTCCTGTTTCAAAAAAACAGACAAAAAAAACCCAAAAAACTTTCATAATCAGACGATTTTTATAATGAGTCAAACTTGAGGTTTGTCCTGTTGAAGTTTCATCCTTGATCATTATATTTCTTTTTTTTTTTTTGGTGGGAAGTTCCCCTTGGTTTTAATGCATGGAAATATAAACCCTCTGCTCAGGATCTTTGTCCCAAGTCCAAAACCAGAGGAGAGAGCTCAGGAGACGACTGTGAATCTGTGAAGGTTATGAAACTGCAGGTGAGGGAAATTGCGTTCTTATTCGGGCCCCTCTCTAATCAGGCGTAGAATTCTGTAATAGCCTCCCTCCCTTTTCCTTCTCATTACCTCACGCTTCCCACACCCTGCTGGACCTTCAGCTCATACTCGTATCCACTGCACATCCCTGCAAGCCACAGATTAAACTCCGCTCCACTGCCCACAATTTAATGAGCTTAGATTTGTGTGGATCCACCTTGTTGCTGGGTATATTTTCCACACACACACTCACACACACACACACACAGCTGGACGTTGTAATCAGCAATTTTAATGGAGTTTCTGTTATACAAAAAAAAAATCAAACCTCTCAGCAGCGCTCAGGGGAACGGCAGCTTTTCAGATAAAAGCGCTCCTCGTTCCTGACTGATTTGAAGGATACGCCGGCCAAAACCGGGCAAAACAAAAGCTGAACAAAACACAAGGCGGGAGGAGAATCTGTGCTGACCTGTAATCTCTTGCCTGACTGGTTGAGAGAGCGTTCCAACGCCCTGCAGCTGCTCTCCAGCTGTGACGTTTGTTGGCTCTGCATTTCCAGCTCTGCCTTCACTTTCTCCAACTGGGAATGGGCCTGTGATCCGGAGCAGAGGGAGTCGAGAGGGAAAGTCAGCACTTATCAGAACTTTACACAGGAGATCGGCAAAAGAAACTAACTATTATTGTCAGACTATTATTGTATCATTGTATGAGGAATTCCACGGGGGGGGATTTTTTTTCCCCCTCCATTGATGCAGTGTCCTCATAGTACAGGGGTGTCCAACTTCTTTTCACGGGGGGGGGCACATCAGCAATACAGTTCCCATTGAAGGGCAGGTTGTAACTGACTATAGCTGTGATTTCTCTGTCGTATTAATACAGGTTTCTCCAATTAATTATTATTTATTCAAATTTCAAATGTTGTACATTGCTTTGTGTAATGATAAAAAAATGTTATCAAGTTATAAAAGTCAGCAGCATAGACTTTATTATTGGACAATTAAACACTTTTTGAGTTACCACGGGCCACACAAAATGACTCAGCGTGCTACATTAGGCCCGCAGGCCTTGAGTTTGAAGTCAAATGCTAATATTCTGATTCATTCTGATTCCCGCACTCCACCGACCCCTGTCGACCTCCCAAACCCACACCTGCGTGAATTGAAATACTATTGAGAACCTGATAATGTGTATATTTGTTATCTGTACATACCACTATATGAGATGCTGCCACCTAGTGACTGGAGGCTTGTTATCATTCAAGCATTAAAGCAGTGGTGACACTGATGTCCAGTGTGTCATATTCCAGTGGAAGCCCCTCACACATCACCTGGCAACTCACCCCCTCCCGCCCCATATAAGATTTTTTTTAACATCATCTGCATTAGCAATACCAATGTTTTCCTACACTGTTGTTTGGCTGCAGCACGGCCAGAGCAGATTGATGACTTCAACACTCATGTGCATCCATAAAGCCAAACAGCTGCATTGATTCGATTACGACTGTTCTCATATATATATGTATATATATATATATAGCAGGCCAGTGGCGTACATTGATCTTCAGTCTCTGCTGTTTTTTTAACGACTAAAGGTAAATTAGTCTGATGAAACTCATGTATATGTTCCAAGGAAATTTTCTTAAGAGGAAAAATAGGGCTTTTACAACCTTAATGTAGTTACAATCGATACACAGTAACGCAGCTATTATTTTTCTAGAAAGACACTGTGAGTGGAAAAGGCTGGAGGCTCAGTATAAAAAAAAGGCAGAACCAAACCATTGTCCCAAACATTTACAGTAATTCTCTGTTTTCACTCAACTGGTCTGAAGACTATTTCTTCAATTCCTGCGAGTATATCATCATTGTGTTCAACTAAACAGGCCCAGGTTTTAGAAAATTGAAACAAAGATCATTATATTTCATTGCATATACTGTATGTTTTGGGTCATTGTTGTTTTTTGGTGCTCCGTGAATGTAAAATATGTGTGGTGTGTGGGAAACACTGGTCTGTGTTTTATGGGATCACATGCTAATTTAGCACAGGGTTAACACAGTTTATTATAGGTTGATATATAAAATTTCAAATTTGACTCCTGTCCTGAGAATATATGTGGTTTTAATAAATGTGGACCACATTGTAAAATTATTTAGAGTTAAGGCCCAATTTTTACTTTTTACTTTTCTTCGACAACCTTCACAACACTCTACCTCTTCTTCGCTGACCCTCTGGTTGAGCTCGGCCTCCAGGTGAAGCTGCTCCTGCTCCAGACCAGTTTCCATGCTCTGTAAAGCACGACATAGAAATGATGAATTATAATTACGACAATATTTTTAAAAAATACACATCTTCAAGCTGTACTCACCTGTATTCGCGTCAAATAGTCTAAAAGCTCAGCCTCGCAGTCACGAACGCGACCCTGCAGTTCAGCCAACTGCAGCCGCAGTTGTTGCTCGCTCTCCAGCTCAATCTGAAGCTCGTTCTGCCAGAACTCCTCTTCCTCCACCTCAGCGTCGTTCCTCCTCACCTGCTGCTCCAGCAGCAGCAGCTCCTCCTCCAACTTCTCTCTCTAGGAAAAAAAAACAGCTCAGTAACAAGGTTTTCAATCTTCAGTGTTAAAATATAAACGGTAAATGTTTGAAGATCGGGGCTTTGAGCTCCTGTAAGTCACAGCTGTGGTTTCTCCTCACCTCAATGGCGTCGAAAGCAGCCTCCTCCCAGTCTCCCAGCTCAGCCTCACAGCCCAGCAGACGGCTCTCCAGAGCCTGGAGTTTGTCTCTCTGTAGCTGCACCAGTCGGCTCAGCTCTCTGGCCGGACTCCCAGGCACAGATGCTACTCCACCAGCTCCAACTCTGCTCAAGTTCAGGCTCACGCTGCGCGACTGGGACTGTTTGGCTGGATGAACGGACACAGAAGGTTTGAGGAGAAAAAGTTTAATTCCGTAAGAAAAAATGTAAAAACAATGAATACAAATTATGATATAAATATAGACATAGAACGTAAGATCAAGGGGTGTTAGCGTCACTAAAAGGCAAATATTGGTTTTTGAAGACCAGTTAATTAATTTTGTTTTCAAAAATCTTCACTATTAAACACTATTATTTAAGCAGAATTATTATTATTGTGAGGTCCTTAAATCATGAAATTTTACCTCCAGAATCTCTGTGTCTGCCAAATATTTCCCTCAGACTCTTGGCCCCTCCAGAAAAGGTCAGAGACTTGCGCTTGGGTTCCCGTCGTCTCAGCGAGTGGTCGGCCACCGACTGTCGGAATTTAGCCAGAGGAGGTAAGCTCTGCCGGTAGAAGCCTCGCTCTGGGATGCGACCTTGGACATCAGAGGTGGGCCGCTCGCTGATCGACGGCCCTGTTCTTTGGAGGATGAGCTGCACGTCGCTGGCGTACTGACCCCACTTGTTGAGGGACACCACAGGGTTTTCATTTGGCGCGAGGTGTCGCTCGGTATCCCGCCACTTCTCGATCAACGTGTATCTGCCAGTTCGACCTACAACAACATTTTTTAAAAAAATCCCTTCATCTGCAAAAACAACGTTGAGAGATGCACTGACCCTCGCCGCCCATCACTTACCTTATAAAGTGGAAAAGGTCGCAGCAATAACACAACGGAGCCACTTAGAAAAATGGCTTTTATCAGAGATGAAGCCTTTTACTGACTCAGCCCGCACGTGTCCAATAAAATCATAAACCTCTGTTGTACAGAGTGGTGCCGTCTCTTATAGAGCGTTGATCTACGGTGTCTCTCACCATTTTTAGTGCTACTACGACACAATGGTTGCCGTCTCATGGTTTGTTTGGTTTTTTTTGTGTCATGTTTTATGCAGATGACACCATATTTTATGAGACCGGCCTTGAGACTGGTCTTTCTGTGTATTTTCAAGCAGAGTTAAAGGATCATTGTGAAAGATTTAAGTGAAACAATTTAAAGTTTGAATTAGAAATAAATTATGTCAAAATGAATGAATTTCTATTTTTGTTCGATTAAACAAAAATTACTAGCTATCTTTACTTAAGGTTGCTAAGTCATAATTAAACACAGCTAAACACTGAGATCATTTGAGATCACTAGTAGGTTCCAAAGTGCAGTGGTTAGCACGCCTGCTTCGGAAGCAGAAAGCAGAGAGTTCTGTGTTCGATTCCCATAGGTGTTCTCAGGGTGAATTCCCATTTGCTCTGAAACATTGCAGGGTTAGGGTCCAGTCAAAGCCCAAAAGTAAAGGGCTATGCCTGGATTATTTTTGAATTAGTAAAATTGAACATTTTTTCACTGCGGCCCCCGTACCAAACAGCCTATGGACCGGGACCAGGGGTTGGGCACCCCTGCTATAAAGGGTAGAAACCAAACATCAAAGCCCATTGTTTGCCACAGCAGTGGGGAAAAAAAAAGTAAACTGGACAAAAGCCATTAGCTCCTTTATGAGCCCCTCACTCTTTTTCTCAAATGGCAGATTCCAAAGACATCAGTGTTTAGTGAAGGAACTTTACAGTGGGAAAACCCTACTCAAACAGTCACTGTGCTGGGAAAAGGACAGGAGTTCAATGGCTCTCGGCTCTGTGTGCCTGCTGCTGTGTGTATGTGTGTGTGTTATTGTGTGTTATTGTGTGCGCCTGCATTCTTGTCTGTGCGCAAACAGATAAGAGCAAAACACTTTACACCGCTTCACACCACCGCCCCTCATCCTGCACTATGAGGGCCCTTGTAAAAGGAGGCGCATTCATCACAACAGCCATTCACATCACAGCACCTCCCGCCTGGACTGAAGGCAAAGGAGCAACACGAAAAGAACAGTGGACGCCATAACTCCTGTGATGTTGTCACTGCGAAAGACGCACCTCCCACAGTGCTGTGAGAAGAACAACACTGAATGTTTGGATGCACAGGTGATGACTAACAAAGTGGCAACTTTTCTTCCTCTGTTCTGCAGCTGATAATGAAGTCTTACTCCTCATTTCTCTCAGATCATATATGTCAGCTCTCTCTCTCTCTCTCTCTCTCTACCCTTAGGTGCTGTTTCACTTTTGTACCATCCATCATCCCCACTCAACAGACCAATGCTGGACACAGTCCACATCACAGAAACTCCCTGTAGGAATCTCTGAAGGACATGATATCATTTACACAACTTTTTGACCTCAGAGAGAGAATTTATCTTTGGGTTATTATCCTCTGTTTCTCCTTTATTTGTAGTATTTGACTCATATCTTTGTCTTGTTGGGTTAAAACGATAATGTGGGCTCCAGTTTCATTTCCACACATTCAAACATTTGTTTTTTGTGTGAGGAATTGGTTTAGTTGTTAATTGCCTCGAAACAAGCAGCTAATTCAGAACAGTTGTTGTTCAAACTTACCAATGGCTTGCGCCAAAGCGATGACCACTTCCTGGCATGTGGTGAACTCTGTGACCCCACACACAATGCGCTGCACTCCATCCACCCACACTTTTAGCTCCATGGCCTTCATCCAAAGGCCCTCATTCCTCCACACCACAAGAGGGTGCTAATGGTAGGTAAACTTCATTCTGAGGAGAGGGAAAAAATTGCTGAAATCAATCAATGTTTCACACAGAAACACAACACATGAAATTTTTTAGCATGGTATAGGTGACAAATAATGCAGTCTGAGGTTTATGTTTAGCGTTCGTCATTCATTAGAAAATAATTCATTGTTTAATTTACTAACATTCTCAAAACATTTACGTAACATATGAAGAAAATAATTCATTGTTTAATTTACTAAGATTAAAAACAAATAGTAGTACTACAACTGATACAACAATTTACTTGTTGTTTACATAAAGTACTTCCATTAATTTGCCACCACAGTTTAAAAAAAAATAGATTCCCTCATTCACCACTCGAGGGAGCCCTAGTAACAATAGTACGCATGCCACAGGTTGAGAACCAGGACTAAGGATAGCTACTTGTTATGTTCATAGGGTCAAAACATTTAGTGGAGACTATTGTCAGGTGAAAACAGAATCAACCATTTTGATGTGAACATTTTAAATTTAAATCTAATAAACCATCAGTAACATTAACTAAGCATTAGCTAAACCACTGCATCAGTAACCATTCAAACACATATAGAGCAGTACTCGACCTGGTTGTACGACTCGTCCACTTGCAACTGTTCATCAGCAGTCTACTGTTGTGCTGCTGATGAATTAATGCAACACACTCACAGTGCAGCAACTCTGTAACGGGCTTCATTCACTACATTTTTCATTTGCTGGTGTCAGTACGAGGAAGCAGTCACGTGCACATGCGCACACACACACACACACCTACGCACACATTGCATGCACACGGGACGGCAGAACGAGCAGAGCCATTTCAAACTGCTGACACAAGCACGTCAGCAGCGAGGCAGTCATTACGAAGCTGGCAAGGCCGCGACAGCGAGCCCGAGCACCGGAGCAGCGAGGGAGCAGGTGTCTAATGCTCACACAGCCCGTCCTCTTCCTGACCGGCCCATCAGCTCTGCTCTGATCCTTGACTCTCACATCACTCGATGCCTCCCTTACTATAATTTAAACTCCTTCCATCTTCATCACAGCTGGAATGGGACTCCCATCTCTGCTATTTAACCACCAGCCCCCCCTGGAGGAGCCCGTCTCTACTGAGACTGTACGCACATTACACCACAGGCTCTTATGCAGAAGAGGCATCTGGTCAAGGCAAGGCCCCCGGTGTGTGTGTGTGTGTGTGTGTGTGTGTGTGTAAGATTTGTTACGGTGGACAGATTCTGTAGGAGCTCCATGAACCCAGACACCTGTTTAATTCCTAGTCAATGAAAGTGTTACCGTGAATACACCTTGGTGCAGACACGGAAAAAAAATATCTGCAGTTTGTTGTTGTTGTCTATTTAAATGTAAGTGATAAAAACAATGCCGTTTAATTGTTGTGCATAATAAAGTAATTATTCAATAATTACAAAATAAAGTGCAAACTTTGTATTTTTGAAGTTAGCACAGAGGGTAAGAAGAAACTACATGAAGGGCTTTTAACTGCAAAATGCTGTTTCTTTAGCAATTATGGTTAAAAAGAAAAAAACTGACAAATTATTAACCACTGGTTAACCTTACGGTTACATTTATTACAGAGAGTGTGTCCAGAGCTTTCTTGGCTAACTGTAAAGGTCTCCCAAGCTAATGACAAATTAGCTCTAACATGTTATTGTAAGTGTCTTCTTCTTCTACAACATAGAACCCATGATGACCTATGTCAATTGGTCTGTAGCTAGCAGTAAACTAACCTGTTAGCTTGTCTCCTGGTGCCTGTTGTTCCAGGTTGGTTCAGTAGTTGTTGTTATATCACGTAGAAAGACTGGGAAGGCTGTTTGTCCTGCTTGCTAACAGCAAAACAACAAAACAGCATCGCTGTTACCCTTACAACCCACTGTTTCTGTTAGCTGCACTTTGCGCGACCTTTGCTGAATCACGTATCAGCTGATACACACAATTTGAGGGCAGAATACTCTAAACCCTCAAAGTTAAACTTCCACCTCTTACTTTATACGAGTGTTGAAACTGTGGAAGGCAGCCGCGATAACATCAGGACAAAATGAAAACACTAATGGTACAAGTGCAATATCCACTGGAGGAAAGAAAACATTCTTCCTGTTAACAAAAGGTCACTGACGCGGTTTCATAACGACCGCTGGCTCCCGACAGATGACGTGATGACGCCTTAAATTTTCACAGCTGTGGCCAGAATGTTGCAATAAGCTGTTTATTCAATGACAAGTGATATCCAGATAACACTGAGGTTTCATACAGGAGGAACAGGCTGTTGACACAGGCTCTCAAACTCTCTTACACACACACACACACACACACACACACACACACACACACACTGTAGTCAGTCCCTTGTGTCTGACACAAATTATCAACATCTTATTAATTTAGGCAAATGCATTTCACCAGTTTAAATTAATTTTGATTTCACAAAACACATTAGTGCGATCAGACACTAGGACTCCACATCATCACTTTTCATTTCTGCTTCTATCATAACATTCTTTTCAGGGTTGCACAAGAAGTGGGAGTCGATCCCTGCAGTCAGACGAGGGTGTGGTTCACCATGAACAACCATTAACAATGACAGAAATACTGGAGTGTGTTTATACAAGTATTTTCATTTGTGTACATGCCGACCACCGTCAAGTACCACCACGGATACTTCTCGGAACATACTCACCGACCACCATCAAGTACCACCACGGATACTTCTCGGAGGTTTTTCAACAAATTAAATTAAACTCTGGTTAGTCATCACAGTCGGCTGAACAGAAAGTGAGCAGAGCTTCGACGCCGTAATCGCATGTCAACTGAAAACACTGCCTCCTGTTGTCCAGTAAACAAAGTTCAGTGACTCGGTACTGTGTAAACACCTCATCTGCTGAGGCCTCATCGTCACTGTGACTTTAAAACTGCGATGAGTCATCAGCATATCCATCGATCAGGCCCAATGCCGATACAGGTATCTGTAGCTAATTTATACCGATGGTGAATTCAGAGTAAACAACATGTTGTTTTTTGCTGTATGGCATAAGCACACGGCTATTTTCTCTCCATGACTCACATGCTGACGTTGGCAATTTGGCATAAATAAGACAACATATGCTGAGAAGGGTTTGCCTCCATCATAGACAGAGATACAGCGCAGCGGCGTAGCGGCGGGCAGCTGTGTCGGAGCAGATGTTCTGCGCTTGTGACGTGGAATTGAGCAGATGTATAGGTCCGTGAAGCTCTGATGCAGGAGAATTAAAATCGTCTATCGGTACAGGCCGTGACGTCAGAGTGAGATCCGATCAAACGCTGCCCTCCGAGTCTGCGCTGAGCTCAAGAACGTGACCAAAAGAGTCAGACGACCTTCGATTTCCCTTTCCTGTTAATCAGTTCCAACAATGGTTAAGGTACTGTATGGTATGAGAGACGTCGTCTAACTCTTCTTTCTTTGTAATATTACATTAACTGATCCACAAATACTCCAAGACGACAATATCTGACAGATATTTTCATAGTAGAGTAGTATTTTTTATTAATGGTATCGTTTAAAAAAGACATACCAACATCTTACAGCGCTCTCTACATCTAAGGGATGGACTAATTTATTGAATAATCAAATAAAAATACCCACCAGATCAAAGGATTATGTAAATCATAATCAGCTTATTTCTAACAAACTAACTCTGGTTTGCTCTCCGCTTATGACTTTGATATAAATGTATTACTTTGAAGCCCCTGCTGCCCCTGCACATGGATGAATAAATCATGGGGGCTACACTGCGCATAAACACAGGTTATTATGCAGCAACATGTGTGCGCTGCTATTTTGGTTCGGCTGTGTTTAAGATGTATACTTCCATATTTAGAACCAGGATATACATTTCAAAGCTGAGTTACCGCTGCTGTAATTTAGCCTGGTTTATTAGCATGGTGTAGAGTTTAACAACACCAGGCTAGTTGTGTTAAAACTGTTGCAAAAATGTTCCTCTGTCGGAGTAGAATTACGTGTTGGTCATATTCTGGCCACTGTTGTACTTCTTTACTTAACTCGGTGAAGAGACGAGCAGGATAGCTAACTGCTAAAAGCTAAGTGCTAGCTCACACCAAAACTTGAACCTTACTTGAACCTTAAGTGAACCTTACAAGCAGGTGAATATTAAAAGCTAACTGCTAGCTCACACCAAAACTTAGAGACGTTACGTTAGTTAGCGTAAGTGAACCTTACAAGCAGGTGAATATGGGTTTTAATCAAATTATAAAACGTTTTTTGGTTTCACTTTAGTCACATGATTCAATCAACTTTTTTGGTTTCACTTTAGTCACATGATGAAATTAGCAATTAAAAATCAAAACATAAATACAAAATCTCTGTCGCAAAACCGTTCCTCGTCACTATTTCTGGTTATGTCTTTGGTTTATAGTCTTTCATTTCTAGTTGAATTTACACCAAGCTGAATCCTGTTTATTCATGGTAAATACCATGAATAAACAGGTTTGTGATTATGTTTTATTGACATTAACCACTGGACTAAAATCCTTATAATATAAATATTTTCTCAGATTTATTTTTTATTTTCTTCCACCAAACACCTGACTAAGATAATAATGATTATGAAATAAATTAGAATATATTATCTAATAAACTACCGTCATTGAAATAAGCCACGGTATTTAAACTGACTGGTTGTTAAGTTATTGTTTTTTGTTTTTTTAAGCTCTTGTAGAAGCAGAAAAGAGATGAGGTATTTTATGTCTGGTGTTGGCAGGAGTTACAGGGTAATAAGCTGTGATTTGTTTACAGGTAGAAACCTTCGTCTGTCTAGACAGGTGTTTCACCAGAACAGGAAACGGTTTTACTGCCAATGTGAAAAAAAACAGCAGGCAGCTGTTGTACGTTCTTTGTGGCTATTAGTTGAAAAAAAGTATTAAGTGAATGGACACTAAGAGCCGATTATTCGACTGGAAACTTGTACGATGACAGATTATTTCCAACAAGGACCTAAATGTGAGAACCTTAACTCTCATATAACATAAAGACCAACCTTTAATGAATGGCACAGACATTAACTCCTCTTCTACAGCACAATATTTTCAGGACATTTCTCGGCTGCTCTGTGACAGAAAATTGTTTTGCTTTAGGATTTCACGCTTTTTTGCTTTTTGTTTATAAGAACCAAAACCCCCTAATTATATCTTCACTTCTATTAGAACAACAGTACGAGGCGTGGTCCAAATGAAGCAGTGTCGCCGCGGTCACGCATGTTTGAGGCGTGAGAACTACAGTGTCGTCTGGACCGTGAACTGCTGAGCTAAACTTAGTGGCGACTTCAGTCCGCCTCCCCTGAAGTTTCATTCTCAGGATGCCACAGAAAGGCAGAGCCCTGGAGGAGACACCATTTGGATCAACCGAGTCCCCGTTTCATGTTTGCCCTTTCTCAGACATGGACGTCTGTTGGTAAAAACAGGCGGAGCACGAAGTCCCCTTCCATTTCCCAGAGATGAGACAAGCTTTTAAAAAAGCATTAAGCGTATTAAGATGTAAAAAAAAAAGTAAAGTCAGGGTTTTAAAAATCACTATATCCTTTAGCAGACTTCATTTCCTGCTTTGCTTAGCTCAACACTCTCGGTCAATTGCTAAATTAAAGTTTAACTAAGTGATTGATCAGCTTTGAACCCCTGAACCCTCGTCACTTACGGCAGCCAGCCAATAAAACCCTTCACAGTTGAGCAGTAAAACCCAACAGTACCAGATAGGAATGTCAGATATTGGCTTTTTGACAATATCCGATATGCCGATATTGTCCATCCAACACTTCATTACCGATACCTATATCAACCGATACCGATACAGTGGGACAGTGTTGGCCTGGCGGTTAGGGAAGTTAAGTGCCACCTGCTCACTAAGGTGATGGGTTAAAGCAGTCTCAATTATTTTCTGCTACTCCCGCCCTACGGGACAGATGTCCGCATACAATCCCCTAACTATTAAAATAGATTAATAAAATGAGCTGCAATGCTGCCATCTAGTGACTTTCACTTTCATATACCGCCGTTTATCCCCAAAACTATTTTGAGGGCACACATCATTTAGTGAAACCCAGGCATTGTGTAATCGGGTTTTCATTATCAGAGAATAAAAACTATAACGATTCTTACAGCTATTACATAATTGCCATAATTATCGGGCGATATTATAGTACCAGATAATTAATGGATTTAAGCGCCCGCCTTTACTATGACAGGTTATAAGAAACAATTTGTGAAAAATTGTTTTTTTTTTTTATAAAAAACGTTCAAAGAAAACGTAACGAGTTGACAACGCAATAACAACAACGGATGACGACAATCACGCAATCTCTTGCAGATTTCAAAGACTTAGCATTGGTCTCAACAGCAGGGGTTGTCCACTGCAACTAGTGGAGCAGAGACAAAGGGGCATACAGTGAGTGTGTTCATGTGTGTGTGTGCACGTGTGTGTGTGCGTCCACATGGCTAACTGGATGCAAACAATCCCTCACCATGGCTACACAGTTTGCTCTTTGTCCGAGCTCTACACAGATGAGTGGATTGATTGGAGGGCACGGTCTGGGAAACTAACCAAACAATCGGCCACAATTAAGGAGCAGCCCCGTGTTTTCCTGTCACTTCCTCTTTGTCTCCTCTGAATGCCAGCTCGGACAAAAAACACTGGGGTGAGCACTTCAGCGGGGGTTTCCCCCCAGAACCTTAAATCAAGTGGGGTTGCTGCTGAACGGTCCAAATTAAAGAGGGAATTATCAGTGCAACTTACATTACGTTAAACCACCTGAAGGAGGCGCTAATCTATCAGTTTAGATATAAGTTTTGTACAGACTCCATCGGGCTCAAAATTATTTCACGGAATACTGCAGTACTGCAGTTTGACTGCCTAAGGCCCTCTGCTAGGCCGTCCCCTTCCTCACCCCCCCCCCTTCTTCCCCAAGATCAGTCAACTGTTGGTCTTTACTGTTGACGAACCATCTGGACGGTGTGTTCAGAGAACCTGGAGACATCAACGCCCAAACAAAAGTTTACAAGACATCACTAGTAGAGTACAAGATGAAGAGAAGAAAATCTCCCCTCCTCCTCTTCAGTTTCTTGTCAGTAAATACTGAAAGGTACTAAAAGTACTGTGGATTAATTTTCTTAGCCATTTTATTAGGCTACTATTCGTGTTGCTAAAAGTAACAAAAGTGAACCTGAACAATCCAGTGTAGGCATAGACTGCTGGGGAATCTCCAATGGTGCATAAAACTGTTGCCTCACTTAGCTTTAACTGGTACAGACTGTTAGACTGGTGTTTTGTTGCTTTAGTTTGTATGGGAGTTTATGTGTAAACAACACGTCGTATCGGAAACTGCGTGCAGTTGTCTCTGAATTTTCATACATTTTATTCCAGTTTATTCTACACAAGAATTCCATCTGGTTCCTTCCTGAGTTTGTCCCATTTTTTGGGAATGACTGCTCCATGGTGCAGTCAAAATGCAATGATGCAAGTACTGGAAATACTCATATGTTACCTCAGGAAACAAAACCTTCCAGCTTCTTAATGAGCACTGCAGCAATTTTAGTAGTTTTTATTTTATGACGTTATTGTAAATCAGGACTTGGTGAAAGCAAAATACTTGAATTGGAGTAAGGTACACGGCCCCCCCCCCCTGCTGGTTTCCTGCCTGTGGCGTTCACAGTCTCTTAAAGCACTCCTCGAAGTGACATTGCCACTCCTTAGATCCACGCTGCCAGAAGCTAAAAATAGCCACAGGGAAAATCTAATGTGGGTAGCTATCTCTGGATACAACAAAAAAAAAGCTAATTAAATTAGGATTTGTCCATCGGACACTCAAGCACTTTGTCTGATGGACTCTCCTCACACCTTCTCATTATCGAGGATTTCAGGAGTAAAGACGAGGCTCCGCAAAGACACGTGATAATCCCCAACATTCAGCCCTCTGTGGTTTCCCCTCATGTTTTAGCGGCTGAATGAAGACGACTTTGAGGAGATTGCCTTCACATCCACCTTCTCAGGTGAGGGGAGTGGGCTGAGTGCAGCTTAAACAAAAGCTGAATTTAAGTGAAGGAAGACCTTCTGGGAAATATTCACACAAAACAGATTCTGTTCTCTTAAGCAAAAAAAAAAAAAAAGAAATTTAAACACAATAACTGCTGAGAGAGTTTGAGTTGAAGAGGACAATGTCATAAAAATGTAGATAAATCCATCGGACGGGTATTTGGACGAACCACCTTCTAACAAAGCTGGGTCACCAAACTGCCGCGTTGTCTCCTCAAAAGTTAAAAACTAATCAGCTGGTTGAAGACAATAAGCCTTTAACCCTGTAAGACTCGGAGCTTAACTCACCGGGGGAGGAGGGGGAGGAGGGGAAGGTCTGCTAAAGAAGAACTGGGATGGATTTACTTCCATGTAACATTTTAAACTTAAACTTTATTATGGTATTTTCAACAAGAATTAACACCTAAAGTCTCTCAGATGTGGATATCAAAATGCTTAAAGTATTACTGTAACTTTAATCTAATTAAACTGTATTTGTAAAAAAAAAAAGATCTTGATCCCTATGTTTTTGACCTTTTGTCAACAGCAATATAGGGTCCAACAGCTTAGTTTGAGGACAACATCGTTGAACTTTGTCTACACTGAAAAGTCACTTCCAGTTGGATGGTGCCAAATACTATACAACATGAATAACTCGCATTGTGTTTTTTGGTCAAAGAAGTTTTAAAAGTAGAACTGGAGTCTTTATTCTTTTTTTTCAATGTCATCACCGATGGTTAGAACCGATCCGCTTCATTGCTCAAATACACTCTGGACATGCTGACTCGCAGACAAACCCGTGTGAAACCAAAGAACCAGAGAAGTTGAACTTCTTTTCCAGCACTGCTGAAGCTAAATACAGTCTGTGTTATGTCTACATCCACCACACACACACACACACACACCACAACTTAATAGCTGCTGAGTGTGTTCTGCCCTTGCTCCTGTGATTATGTGTGTTCCAAGGACTTTCTCTCCCGGTGTACAGTACTGTACTGTACTGTACTGTACTGTACTGTACTGTAGTGTAATGTACTGTACTGTACTGTAGCTGTCTGACTCAGTTGAAGGAACTCTGATTAAAACCTCTGCTGAGCGAGCGCTTACAGCCAAACTCTATTAAGAGATGCATCACTGCAGGGGCTCTGCACACACACATACACACAAACAATGAAATACACACTCATTTCCTGCATGCTGGCTGATGGATCAGATCTGCACACTGTCACAATTCATTTCAAACTTATGAAATATATCAACTAAAGGACCTCTTCCTGTAAAAGAGAAATAATTCAGAACCACTTTGAAAAAATATATATAGAAAAATGATGATAGTAATAATAATAATAATAATAATAATAAAGTTAAGTAAACCACAGCAGATCTGACTGTCGTTGTTGCTCCATCCGGTCCATTTATGTAAGCTGTTTCTACGGTTGTTCAGAACATGTTGGTCCGACTGTAGCATTCACACCTTAGCATACATTACACCCATTCATGTGAAAAACACACAGAGAGAACCTCACCGAACTACACACACACACACACACACACTTCATTCACTTACCTGTATGTATGACTGCAGAGTCACAGCATGGCCCGGTCTCCTCTGCTTGTTGTCTGTATCTTCACTTATTTCTCTCTCGGAATCAAAACCCAGCACTTGGTTCCGGTGCTTGTCATGCGGCCCAGTACCGGCAGGTCCAGGTCCTGTTTCCGAGCCCCGTTTCGCGTCTGCAGCGGTAAACGCTGTGGATGTAAACAGTCTGTCCAGTCACGGGACATCCAATAATAACAACACTGCTGCTACTGCTGCTGCTGCTGTGACTGAAGTGAGAGCAAACACACTCACACAGAGGCAGAGATTCGGATTCTACTGCTGCTGCTGCTGCTGCTGTAAATTACGTCTGAACACAAGTGGGACACCGCAAGGCATGATGGACCGGTTAAAGCTGCACTGCACCGCCGACGCACACGCAGACATCCCAGCCTACAGTGATATCCGGAGCCCCCACCTGCCGCCTTACCCCTACGGCCCCCACCAAAAAGGGACGGGAGGGTCGGGTTTTTTGACGATAACATATTTAAATGACTTTTAATATTAATGTTAATTAATTTTGTATTGCTGAATTATAAATTAAATCAACTTCTGACAGAGTTCGGACTTTTTATGACGTTACACCGAGAAACCACTGAATACGGGTCCGAAAATGAACATGACATGACACCTGTTTTTAATAGGCATTTAACTCGACGGCGGCCATATTGAAATTAACGCTGGGACAACGACAAACTTCGGTTTAATCTGTGATAAAGCAGCCAGGTTACATTAACTTTAATTGAAATGTCCAATTCTGTTATTAACTGACGTGTCTCTTTGTTCAACGGCTGTTTGTCTAGTTTCTTTTTTTTAACGTTAAGATTGAAGCCATGATTAGGGTAAAATTTCATGTCAGAAATCCCAATGCTAACATCTGTATTATATCTATATTATTAACTTTTTTCTAACACTTATATTTAACCTAAAATTATGACGTGATTATACGTGATTATGGTCATTTTTAACAATATTACATGTGTTTTTTAACTGTAGCTCTTAGTTTAATGCTTGAAATCTACTTTTTCCCTGATTTATTTTGGGTGTTTTTTGTTTTATTGAGTGAATCCAGATTGTTTTAATTTAATGAAGAAAATCATATTGAAACTTTTAAGAGATTTATAATAAGACTATCACTCAATCAGATGGTTTACAGGAGATGACAAAAGAGAGAAAAAAAATATAATCAGGGTTTAAAAAATGATGAATAAAAGTAGTAAGTGTGCATCTTATTAACAGTCCAGAGACCTGGAAAAGTCCCAAACTTCAGGTCCTGGAGTCAAGTCCTTCATTCAGACTAATGCTGTGTTCCTGTCATGCATCCTTTTCCCGTCTTAAAATTATGCGCAATCTGCAAAACTTGCATATCCACATCCTCTCAAAGATTTAACAGGCACACATTATCTGACCTTTGACACCAATGCTGCACGTTTTTTTGATGTCTGAGGCCATAAAGTGGAACTGTTCTGTATGAGCCTGCATCATTTCAAACACACTTTCCCACAAAATAATAGGAACGTTTGACATAATTGGCATCTTGGTGAAAACGCATCTGTCTCCACTAGAATTACGTCCAGTGCTGTCTCTCTGCCTGAAAGGTGGACACACACACACTGGAGGTTTTTCAGACACAGAGTCATAACATGTAATTCAGGTCGGATGTTTATATACAGTATTTCCATCACTCACTTCCTTTTTGCTTTTTCCTCTGCTGCACTAACAGCCCATAAAGTTTACTTTTAAAGTCCCAGGAGCAGCAACGCGTTTCAGCTGCTCAGGTTGTTTGACTTCAGGAACAAACATGGACGTTGTCACGGCTTACAGCATTAATCCTGACGGTTTCCTGCCGCGCAAACACGTGTTGACACCAGCATCTCAACAATCAGATTTCCAAGCCCCACAAACCTGGAAAAAAAAGTTTCATCCAGGCACCAGTTTTTACGCACATTTGTCTTAATTACTGCCGCTAATATCTAATCTGTGCCGTGTTGCTCAGTTAGGCAGCATCTCACATTGGCAAATTACTTTATATGGTTCATAAATCCCATTAAATCCCAGGAGATGGATGTTCTCGTGCAGCTTTTAATTTTAATAGCAGTTATCCTTTTCAGAGCTGATGATTTAGGTCTAATATGAGTCTGGGCATTATTATTCAAAATAGAGATTATTAATCAATTATTGAGTCCAAACTTGTCCCACAAACAGGTGAAGGTTAACCAGAAGTACCTGAAATGTTTTTGTAAAACAAAGACGTAAAATTACAAAATAGACCAAAGTTCGATACATCTGCAGGGAATGTGATTTCACAACAAAATTGGTAAACAATTTGCAAAAAAAAAAAAAGAAAAAAAAAGAAGTGTAACAAAGCTAGAGTGAGGCCAGGAAAAAATTACCAAAAAATATCCAGAAGTGAGCTAATTAGTGAGCTAATAAAGCTAATAGTGAACAAAACAACAACAACAACAACAACAACAAAACCAAAGTGTTAGCAAAGACGATAAAGAAAATATCTAAAACAGCAGTACTTAGCCAGTAATTTGTTGAAATATCAACCAAATAGTTAGCATCAAAGTGTGAAGGTTAGTGCACAGAAAAGTGAAGGCAAACCAAAAAATATGTAAAATGTTTGAAGTTGAAGGTAGGCCAGAATATATTAAGCCAAACATATAGCAAATGCCAAGCAAACTATAGCTAAAGGTTGGCGTAGCAACTGGTAGAAGTAAGGCGGAAATAATGCGTAAAATGTATCTGAAAAACGAAATGTTAGCCAAATAAAAATCCAACAAAAATGGAAAAAAGAAAACACCTCTAAGTGCCACAATTGGCCCCTAGGACCAGAAATTGGACACTGATCTATGTCCTTGACCTTTTTCAAAAGCATTCCTTTACACTTTTACACTATTTTCAAAGACTGATGATAAAATGGTCCCAGTTCCTCACATTCGTCTCATCACCTCCTTGGTAAATCCTTCAGATGTGTGTCTTTGACCTTCTCCCACGCTGCTGTTTACCATCCGTTCACTCGTACATTCATGGATCCACGTGTTGTCAGAACCAGCAGGATCTGACCATATCTACAGATCTGACCTTTAAATGCTTTCTACTCAAAGTGGTCACTGCATTTTCTCTGAATCCAACACGGTACGACCCCGTTGACCTGAGTGGGTCACGTGACTGAGCAGCCTCTCTGAATTTTAAGAGCCCTCCACTCTCCTCCGGCTGCCTCCTCCTTTATCCTGGCCCTCGTCGTTCTTGACCTGTCTGCTGTGGTTGGCACAGGCTGCCATTAGTTACTCTCTGGCACCGGTGCAAAGCTTTAGTTTTTTTTTTTTCATTTTAAAGAATCTACCTGTGTGCAGCTTTTTTCTTCCCGGCTGACTGCATCTATTACGCCTTAATGGCTGGAATCCCTCAAGTGTTCAGACTTTGACACTCGCCTGACCTTGCTTTTCAAGTAGTGGATTTATCTTCTCTCGCTCGGGGGAAAAAAATTCAGATTCGATTTTCTGTGTCGGACTGAAAACTCTCAGGCTCCCATTTTTTTTTAACTCCATCTCACATCAACAGCCGAAAAAAATATAATCAGGGTTTAAAAAATGATGAATAAAAGTAGTAAGTGTGCATCTTATTAACAGTCCAGAGACCTGGAAAAGTCCCAAACTTCAGGTCCTGGAGTCAAGTCCTTCATTCAGACTAATGCTGTGTTCCTGTCATGCATCCTTTTCCCGTCTTAAAATTATGCGCAATCTGCAAAACTTGCATATCCACATCCTCTCAAAGATTTAACAGGCACACATTATCTGACCTTTGACACCAATGCTGCACGTTTTTTTGATGTCTGAGGCCATAAAGTGGAACTGTTCTGTATGAGCCTGCATCATTTCAAACACACTTTCCCACAAAATAATAGGAACGTTTGACATAATTGGCATCTTGGTGAAAACGCATCTGTCTCCACTAGAATTACGTCCAGTGCTGTCTCTCTGCCTGAAAGGTGGACACACACACACTGGAGGTTTTTCAGACACAGAGTCATAACATGTAATTCAGGTCGGATGTTTATATACAGTATTTCCATCACTCACTTCCTTTTTGCTTTTTCCTCTGCTGCACTAACAGCCCATAAAGTTTACTTTTAAAGTCCCAGGAGCAGCAACGCGTTTCAGCTGCTCAGGTTGTTTGACTTCAGGAACAAACATGGACGTTGTCACGGCTTACAGCATTAATCCTGACGGTTTCCTGCCGCGCAAACACGTGTTGACACCAGCATCTCAACAATCAGATTTCCAAGCCCCACAAACCTGGAAAAAAAAGTTTCATCCAGGCACCAGTTTTTACGCACATTTGTCTTAATTACTGCCGCTAATATCTAATCTGTGCCGTGTTGCTCAGTTAGGCAGCATCTCACATTGGCAAATTACTTTATAAGGTTCATAAATCCCATTAAATCCCAGGAGATGGATCTTCTCGTGCAGCTTTTAATTTTAATAGCAGTTATCCTTTTCAGAGCTGATGATTTAGGTCTAATATGAGTCTGGGCATTATTATTCAAAATAGAGATTATTAATCAATTATTGAGTCCAAACTTGTCCCACAAACAGGTGAAGGTTAACCAGAAGTACCTGAAATGTTTTTGTAAAACAAAGACGTAAAATTACAAAATAGACCAAAGTTCGATACATCTGCAGGGAATGTGATTTCACAACAAAATTGGTAAACAATTTGCAAAAATAAAAAATGAAAAAAAAAAAGAAGTGTAACAAAGCTCAAGTGAGGCCAGGAAAAAATTACCAAAAAATATCCAGAAGTGAGCTAATTAGTGAGCTAATAAAGCTAATAGTGAACAAAACAACAACAACAACAACAACAAAAAAACCAAAGTGTTAGCAAAGACGATAAAGAAAATATCTAAAACAGCAGTACTTAGCCAGTAATTTGTTGAAATATCAACCAAATAGTTAGCATCAAAGTGTGAAGGTTAGTGCACAGAAAAGTGAAGGCAAACCAAAAAATATGTAAAATGTTTGAAGTTGAAGGTAGGCCAGAATATATTAAGCCAAACATATAGCAAATGCCAAGCAAACTATAGCTAAAGGTTGGCGTAGCAACTGGTAGAAGTAAGGCGGAAATAATGCGTAAAATGTATCTGAAAAACGAAATGTTAGCCAAATAAAAATCCAACAAAAATGGAAAAAAGAAAACACCTCTAAGTGCCACAATTGGCCCCTAGGACCAGAAATTGGACACTGATCTATGTCCTTGACCTTTTTCAAAAGCATTCCTTTACACTTTTACACTATTTTCAAAGACTGATGATAAAATGGTCCCAGTTCCTCACATTCGTCTCATCACCTCCTTGGTAAATCCTTCAGATGTGTGTCTTTGACCTTCTCCCACGCTGCTGTTTACCATCCGTTCACTCGTACATTCATGGATCCACGTGTTGTCAGAACCAGCAGGATCTGACCATATCTACAGATCTGACCTTTAAATGCTTTCTACTCAAAGTGGTCACTGCATTTTCTCTGAATCCAACACGGTACGACCCCGTTGACCTGAGTGGGTCACGTGACTGAGCAGCCTCTCTGAATTTTAAGAGCCCTCCACTCTCCTCCGGCTGCCTCCTCCTTTATCCTGGCCCTCGTCGTTCTTGACCTGTCTGCTGTGGTTGGCACAGGCTGCCATTAGTTACTCTCTGGCACCGGTGCAAAGCTTTAGTTTTTTTTTTTTCATTTTAAAGAATCTACCTGTGTGCAGCTTTTTTCTTCCCGGCTGACTGCATCTATTACGCCTTAATGGCTGGAATCCCTCAAGTGTTCAGACTTTGACACTCGCCTGACCTTGCTTTTCAAGTAGTGGATTTATCTTCTCTCGCTCGGGGGAAAAAAATTCAGATTCGATTTTCTGTGTCGGACTGAAAACTCTCAGGCTCCCATTTTTTTTTAACTCCATCTCACATCAACAGCCGAAAGTTCTTACAGCAGTCACCTTTGAACAAGTACAACGTGACCTGACTAGAAGACCTACTATCAGGATGAGATGCGAGATTCAGATAAGCCGAGTGACAGCTGGAATGTCACTGACAATGTCACACGATGAGAGTTCGGACAAACCTGGAGCGCCTTAAAACTGTATCCGTACTTGGGAATCACGACTGTGCATTCATTCACATTAATCCTGAGAAATTTAGAAATAATGGATCAGACTTGCATGTCTAAACCTTAGAGGATTCTCGATGAAGACTTGCAACTTGAAGGCTGCAGTAACAAAGGAGTCGTGAACCCCAAAGTTTGGCGTTAACTGCGAAGAGATTTGTTGGAGTTCAAAGCCTCCTGTGTATTATGCATTCGAAATTTTAGATTTAATTAAGACGTTCCAATCGGTCCCCAGTTCAGACTGTGTCAGTCTTTGGGAGATTGTAGGGAGCACAAGCATTGGAATAAAAGTCAACCCTGGACTCAATGATTTTGAATAAAATTTGGCCAACAAGTGTTTAGAGTTCAAGCGTAGACTGCTTCTGTAACCTTATTAAAATAAAATACCACAAGAGGGAATCCAAGTACCAGCAGTGGTCTGCGTACCATAGTTTGAGAACCACCGGTCGATTGAGTTTATAAACCTTTCAGCTCAAACATTCGAAGGAATAGAAGAACCCTGACAGCATCTAACGTAAAACTGTAGAATGTTGGACTGAGATGTGAGGTGCTGAGATGTGAACGTACTTTTATGGCCCAAATGTTCTGCAGAGATTAAGCCAGCGTGCAGCCATTTTGACCCGAGTGCTGAGACCCTGAACAATGGCCTCAGTGTAAAGTTAAAAAAAGACAAAGTGGGCTGTTTTCCACTGTTGCTGTTCCCGTCAAAGACTCCTTTCTTTTATTGTGTGCGTCCAACATGTTCCCCCTCAGTGCGACGACTCCTACATCAGTGTATCAACGCCACAAAGATCCGTCTTCAAAAGGGAACGTTGGAAAAGTAATTCATCTCAGGGAAAAAGGCAAAAAACTACAAAAGTGAACATCTGATTAATGTCGTCGACTAATCCACACCACGGTTGCCCTCGTTTAACCTCGTCCTTTGCATGAAAGGCCAGTCTTCCTTTGTGAAATATGTACAGTGGTAAATCGGAGCGGTTCTCTCATCAGCGAAAGCTGTGAAAAAGGAGGCTTTTGTTCAAAAGGATTTATTCCTTATTCCGACCAAAGGCTGTGAAATGGTGGACTTTTTTTGTCACCAAAATAGATCACAAAGTGAGGGAATTGGAGCTTGTTGGTGAAACAGAGGGAAACAAGTGTGGTTCACTTCCTCAAATAGAGAGAATTAGGCTTTAATCTCACAGATTAACCACTTTAAACAAGTCGGATTTAGAGTTTGTGGATGTTAAAAAATAAATGTTATTCAAGGACAAAGTCTCACTCAGGGACAGTTTTACGCTGAGGCTATTTTTAGGTTTTTTGTTGAGGGGAAAAATTGAGGATGTTACCGTGACAACACTGCCCCCTACTGGTCATAGTGGATATTGACAGGAAATCCACCCTCGTTATTTCACCAAAATACGATTATCTAAATGGTGACCGTTTATTTATAACCGTTTATTTACTATTTTTTAACTATTGGCTAACATTTTGCTTTACCTTGACTTGTGTACTTTGTCATACCGCTATTCTGTCATGTATTTCTTGGCAAATTCTGTTATTCTCTAACAGATTTTTAGCTAATGTTTGAATAACTTGTGGTTCTACTTTTGTACTTTTGAAGAACATTTAAAGTGATCGTGGCTGACCTTCAGCTGTTTGCAGACGTTTGGAACAAATGGTTTCCATTTAACACATTTTCTGTTTTGTAAGTATTTTGAAAATACAAAAATTTTCTTTATGAAGATATTTAAGCTGAGGTCAAGAGAATCTATTGGATAAAAGCGAGAGAGTTTTGGAGATATTTCCCGGGAAGCCGTGCAAATTTATCACCGTGTTATGTGCTTAACATTTAAATGTACACTTATCACTTTAGCAGCACTTTTTTAGCAGACCATCTCACTCTTTCTCCCTTATTCTTGTGCAAACATACTGTGCAGATACAAGAGGAACAACTGCTGCAGAGCTGTAATTACACTGCAGGTTATTGTTAATTCAGTTTTCTGCTAATTCAACCACCGCCTGGAGTGAAGCTAAGCCTTCCCAGATTTCCCAGTTGGCACCGGCTTCATTAGATAGAGTTAATCTCAAAAGTGTTAAGAGGACCACCAATGATCTGGTGCAGGTTTCTCCTGGACCTGTTCCCCCCAATGTTTCACATTATATTCCCTCACAGAGACGTTGGCTGCTACCCAACCTTCTCTACCCTTCAGCTGTGCCGCAGTGCAGCTCGCCCACCACAGGCTCTGGTCTAATCCACAGGCACAGACCTCAGCATCCACCTTAGTGGGATGAGAATCTTTTTAATTATGTCTTAATGTGGAGGAAAAGGTCACGTTCAATCATCATTGGAAGGTCTTGGAAGCACTAAAATGCCATGAAGGTAATGGTGAAATAATGAAGAGCAGAGTTTAGAGAAAAAAAAAGACATTATATTTTACTATTCAAGCACAGGTATTTTTTCAAGAACAAGTCACTCTGCTCTAAAACATGTATATACAGTACATACAATAACAGTTTATCAGGAACGTGGTTTGATCTCCATCTTTAAGGCTCTAAAAAAACATTAATAATGTCACCGCAACACAAGCTGAAGAGCTAAGACACACACACAGCAATTCATTACTAACTTATCAGCTGCCACTACTGTGTTAACACAGAGGAAGTTCGACGTTCATGTCGCTTTATGAAGATAAAGAGCCAAAATGTTGCTTGTAAGTTGTGTTTTTTAGGGATGTCAGATAATATTGGCTGACCGATATTTTTGGCCGATATGATATAATGATAAGAATAGTTATCATTTTTTCCTGTGATATTAAAAACCCAATAATGCAATGCCTGGAATATGATATAATGATAAGAATAGTTATAATTTTTTCCTGTGATATGAAAAACCCAATAGTGCAATGCCTGGGTTGCCCTAAAAACATTTTGTGGATAAATGGCTGTATATGAAAGTGAAAGTCACTAGATGGCAGCATTGCAACACATTTAATTAATTTTTTAAGAATTCTTTTTTAATAATAATCAGGGGATTGTATACAGAACGCTAGTCCCAGCAACGCATACACTGGTTTGTACAGAAAAATAAATAAATATTACCAGGCCTATATCGGTATCTATTGATATCGGAAATTAAGTGTTCGGACAATATAGAATATCAGCAAAAACTTAATATCGGACTGTATCGGAGTGTTTACATTTTTGGCCAATATATTTGCATACTGATATAATTGATGCAATATTTTTGGTCAACCTGTGCAAGATTTGTTCTTTTTTTTATATATTCTGATTAAGTGTGCTAATCTGGTTAAGGTTGAAATGTTCTAATTTAATCAGTGCGGTATTTTTTCCATATTCTAATTTACTGTGAAACATTTGGAGAGAGAGTGGTATAAGGAGCATTTTACAGTACAGCAGTCGCTGTTCTTGAATTGGTCCTGCAGGAGCAGCTGTAACGGGAACAGGTTCAAATGGCTAATTCTGCTTCATGAACATAGTATTTTATTTCTTAAATCTTCAGTAAATAAACACTTCATAAATACTGTGGTTGTAGTAAAAATAGTGCAGTGACTGAGAGTGGACTCAGTTTCGACTGGAGCTCACCACCTTGGTCGTCCTGGCGTTGATGAAATCGACTTTCCTGAAGCCACACTGTGGAGAGAGAGTTTGATTACCAATGCTGATTTATCTTCTGTATGCAGTCGGTTAGATCTGGATCTGAAACTGTTAATGTGCTGCACTGTGTTGATAAGACCAACCTTCTTATAGGAGCCATGAAGATCAGAGTGTTTCCACATGGTGTGCAGCAGGATGCAGGCGCTCTGACCTGCTCTGGACGGACCATAACTGGAACAACAACATAATAATAATAATAATAACAATACATCGTCTGTTAATGGTCATTAGATAGATAGATTCTATCTATCTAATGATCATTAACAATTATTAAAATAATAGTAAAAGCAATAATAATAAAAGACACTGATTCACTGACTGGTTTTTAACAGTGCTCTGATTATGTATTTAGAGACAGAGCGTCTTACAATGAGCAGACATACCAAGATAAGTCAAAAAGTCACAAGACAAATGTTATGACTACAAATGGTGTCTGATTTTATTGACTTTTTTGTAAACTTCTCCATCTGCTTGACAAGTTCAATCGTTATATTTTTGTGAAGACTGAGCTTTGTGTTTAATCTGGTTTTCAATATGAAAAATGACCAATGAGGTTTTGCTCTAGTGCGATTATTATAATTTTTTGTCGATGTAAACACAACTCACCCGTTGTCTTTGCTGCTGATGTTGATGATCTTCGGCAGCGCCCCCTGGTTGACGATGGCTCTGACGTGCTGTGAGTTGCTCTGACTCAGGTTGTTCAGGATGTGGCAGAGACAAGAGGTCGCATCCGTGGACAGGTCGGTGCCCGTGTCGTCATTGGGCAGCATCACTACGACCTCCGGTAACACTTGCCTCACTACGAGAGATACAAGTACACTGATTATATTGTGTATGTATATATATATATATTGTAAGGGTTGTACTTCATCTAGTACATGTCCACCTATCATATCACAGCATATCCTTAATCGGCCTAACCTGCTGCACTGACTATCTTGACTAATTATTTCCTTGCCGTCAAAGAAGCAAAATCATTTCAACAAAACAATGCACCATTGTTGGACTTGGTTTTTATGACAGCCGGTGCTGGCTGTTTTCTGAGCCCCTGCAGTGAATGTGCTCTGCGGTGGATTAGAGAAGTGATTACGGGCTTTGGCGGGCTGTCGAAGTTATTCTGGAATTATTATTAGGCCACTTTTTAAGACCGGCTCATGAATAATTTAAAATAGAACATTACCAATGTCTGGGTGCAGCTCCTCGTGGCGAGAGAGGTTTCTTATCAGAGACATGGCCGTCCTCTTCACATCGCTCTCTCCCTCCTGTAATATCTTCTGCACGTGTTGGAGGCCGTTTTCTCGCTGGACGATGGTGAAAGCAATGGCTTCGGAAACCTGGAACACAGGAAATATAAAGAAATGTGTCATAAATATGTGGGACAATTTTTCATCCGATTAATCACAGGCTAGTGGTTGAGTAATAACAATTAATCGTGATTAACCATAATTGAAATTAATCATGATTATTTGATAAAAGTCATCATTCCTCAATATGTCAAAAAAGTCTCTACATTGCTGCAGAAAAAATAATTTTTCATATTGATAATAACTGATGTTACGATAAATACATTGAAAAATTATGAAAAAAAATGCAAAGCTATAAGTGGAAATATTCCTTAAAGTGGTGTATTATCGTCATTTTTGCGTATCTTGAAATGACTTCTTGCAGGTTGGGATGTCTGACATCAATAAGTGATTTGTACTAATGTTCCTGTGTCGTCTTACAGGTCCATTCCCAGCCGTGATGTTCTGCAGCGCCCCCACGGCAGCCTCCTGGGTGTAGTGTCTGACACTGCGGGCGATCAGCGACAGGTACATGCGGATAGTGATGGCGCTCCACAGCCACTCCACACCGCGGGGGTTTGCCTTCTCCTCCAGCAGAGGGCTCTGTCGCTCCAGGTGCTAAAGGGAAACAAAGAGTCGAGGATGAGCTGCAGCTCTCTGCGGGCCGGGTTCACGGGGTTCACAGTCACAGCTCGGTGATGAATGACAGACACCACCATGCAGTCGTTCAGGGTTTCACGGTGTGCCTCACCGCGGGCATTTAGAGAGCTGAGAGAGCTAGTGAAGCCTGACTGTCAATCTGCAGCATCAACCCACTTCACATTAGACCTATATAAAAGGAGGAGCCGCAGTGCAGATGATGTTTACAGGAAATAATGCAGTGGTACTCAAAGTGGGGAGAAGACCCTGCACTGGAGTCATGGAGATACTGCTGCTGAATTCATTTCTAATGTTTAATCTAATTTTCGTTAATTGCATCAAAGTGGAGAAATAAGGGGGATTTGTAAAAAAAAAAATCTACTTTGCACGAGAACAATATTTGTTGTTTCAAATAAGGTTCACTGAATATGGACAAATAATACACTAGGGGGTGCTACAGGTAGAGTTTGGGAACCACAGCTCTAACAGTTGTTTTTTGTTGGAAACGCATACATTTCTAATAAAAAAAATATAAAAAACGTATTTTTTTAAAAAAAGATTATGACACCATACCAACTGCTTAAAATGTAAACATGTCTGACCAGCATTTTTTTATTAGCCATTTTTAAATCCTTCTCTTTTTCTTACTTAAACTAGGAATTTCAGCTATTTTTACATTACTGTAATAATGCACACATTTTTAAAACATATCCCCATATTAGGTGATAAAAATACGAAATAAGAAATTTAAAAAAAGGCTCTCTAAAATTATACATCCCTAAAACTTACTATACTGTAGTATGAGTAAGAGAGAAGAGCCGGCAATACAACATGAATCTATTCAACAGTTCAGTGTGATGAATGATCCAACACACTGTTAATTCAAAACCATAGTCTGTTTGATTTGGGTCCAAACATATGGTCCTATTTAATTAAATCTTCACCAACTGCTGCTGCTTATGTTTCAAAGATTAAAAAAAATTGTTTTTTTTCCCACGTGAACATCTGACTCACGGTTTCTAGTAAAAAAACAGTCAAATATCACTGCTTTCATTCAACAAGTTCTAACAGGTAATGAAACACAAGCTGATCAAACAAGTTTGGCGGTTTTTAAAACATCCCACCATTCATGCATCGTCACTGGGGTTCATGATTTAGTGGGAATTACCTCTGTGATCCTGGCATTACGCTGAGAAAAGCAGCTGACAGTCTTCTGGTCTGGAGCCAAGTTCTGACGAGATTCCCGTAGGTCTTTGGCATACTTTTTAGGAAGCTCTGCCTCCATTTGATAAGACAAGTTGTGCAAGATGCAGACGCAGTTCTCTGTGGACTTCAGAGCAGAAACAAATCCGCATTAATATTAAATCACACGCTGTGACAGTCAGCTGATTAGTGTACATGGACGGACACAACAACGTCTGAGACGGTTGCTTTTCAACTGCGGTTTAAGTGACTCAGAGTGTGGATTATGCCAGATTAGGGCTGTCACTTTTTAAATGGAATCTGATTGTGATTCAACTTTGGAGCAAAAGTTCACGTCGAGGGAGTTGAACAGTCTACCTCAGACCGTCTGAGGTGTGTTCCAGACTGCCCCGTGTTTATTTAGCAGAGGTCTGCTCCAAGTTTCCTCCACTCGCTGTTTATTAAAGTATTAAAGACAGTGACGCAAGTACAATACAAACTGAACAGTCAGCCTAGAGAACTGTTTGACTAAAACAGTAGTTCTCAAACAGTGGGATGGGCACGCTGAACATAAGTATACCACTGCTGTAATGCTTGAATGATACCAAGCCTCCAGTCACTAGGGGGCAGCAACTCATACAGTGGTTTGTACAGATAAAAATATACATGTTATTAGATTCTCAATGGTATTTAAATTTGTGACAGAAAATATTTACGAAGTACTCGACTAAAGCCTTAAAAATAAAAAATTAGCCATCTACCATAGCAAAGTAAAGTATTAAATAACAAACATTATCCACCTCAAGCATCGACCGTTACTCACAATAGTTTCGGTAATGCCTCTGTGTCTGCGCGGGTGTGACTCACTGACTTCGGTTATTTTGCTTAAACAGGCAATGGCTACTACACACACATGGAACAAGAGAGTAGGAAAAAATACTGTTCACAACTTCTATTTATTACTACAGGATTCACCTAGACACATTCTCCAGGGTACCACTAGAGGGAGCCCATGTACATCTGTGGTAAGCGTGTCATAGTTTGAGAACCACTGCTATAGTTATACATATACGTTCAGAGGCTAACATATGAATTATTAATGCTAAAAATTGATTTTTGTAAAACATAAATTTTTTTTTAAAAAGTGTCAGTGTTAAAGCAATAGATATACAGATAAATATCAACTTCTATCAGTGATTCTGTCACACAGTCCTTTTAGTTAAAAGAACTTTATACTGGTGTCGAGATATGCTTGTTTTTGTGGTTAGTTTTTCTTTTTTCATTCTACCTTGTCATCCGTCTTATAGTCAGCTATGGTTCCTCTGATGTAGTAGACCAGAGAGTCGATGAGATTCTCACACTGTCTCATCGCCTTTCTGCCGTCTGGACCAGCAGAGCTCAGATTCCTGGGAACAGAAATATTCATCTGTTGTGAAATAAAAATACATTTTTTACATGTACTGTATGTTCAACAGTGGGGAAAAAAAATACAACAAAATTAAAACGTGTCAAAACACATTGTTCAACAGTGGGGAAACAAAATTAAAACGTGTCAAAACACATTTTAATGTCGCAGTGAGATCTGCTCTGACTCATTTTACAAAGAAAATAGCAAAAAATGAATTAGGACTTGTATTAAAATATTTTTTGTAGGTTTGACTGACTCATGTGTTTTTCATAGTTTTTTTTTTTTTACAATTGGACAAAGTGTTGAAAATACAAACTGAAGAGGAGCACAGAGGCTGAGAACATGATAAGGAGAACTTGATAACTTTGTCCCTGCGAGGACTGATTTCAGAGGAACAGGGAGAACAAAGGGTAGAGCTGGATGAATAATTCAGGCTCAGACTCTTTTCATGTGGCTTTAGTTGCCAGGGGAGCAGAGCGTCTAATTCTTCTCTGCTTTGTAAACAGAGACTTGTCAGCAACCAGAGACCAACTATGAAACCAACTGCATGACACATTTATTCTCACTGTAGATGTAGAGTAGTTTGATATGTCACAACTATAATAGATTAGATAATAGATTACCAACTCATTTTGCTCAATGGGTTCAAGGCATTTTGGAAAATCTAGATAAAACTGAGGGTAAACTGCTTCGTCATGATGTTTCACATCACAGATGACGGTGTAAAAAAATGAAACAAGTCAAGAGTTCCCAATTATAAAGTATTTATCCCTTTCAGATAATGCTGAGACAGTCCAACAAGATAGTTAAAATCTCATTAGAGAAAGCTAATTAGGTGCCAAAAAATCAATTAGATTGAAGCTTCACTTGGGTAAGAAGAGGCTCAAGGTTAAAAAAAAAATAAGAAAAAAAAGTTAGAAAGAAAACAGCTACAAACACACTTTTCTTCCTTTTGAGGAATGTCATTACCACCTTGTTGCTAAAATTTACATCAGAAAAAGCTCATTGTTAGCCAAAATTATACAAACAATAATGGCTAAAATAAAAAAAGTTGTTGCTTGAACCTAATAAAGTTGCAACCACAATAAAAGCATAAGGAACATCACTCCGAGAAAATATCAAAACCCACAGACTAACAAAAGGCTGGTGCAAAAGCTAAAAGTTAGCCAAAACTAAATCGAAATAAGTCAAATTATACGGTCTATTCAAAAAACAATTACATATAAATATATAGATAAATACATATATAAATATAAATACAAAAACACAGCAAGGATGACCATAAATAAGACAAAACTTGCTTATAGTTAAAAATAATAGCCTACAGTGGGTAGTAATATTAGAATAGCATTAGCATATTTGTATATATATAGAGTACGTAGTAATATTAGGCCTGGCACTCAGCAAAAAAATTGCAAGAGATGAGTCACAAGACTGAAGAGAACATACTTGAAGTAAAAGTTGGCTTAAAGTGGCTCAAACTACCTGTAATGTAATAAATTGGACTTAGAAAGTACAGCCATGAAATATAGTAATATCCTTCCCAGATGGTGGGACTTTATTAAATGAGCTCCCAGTAAGACATTAACTCTCTTCCCTATAGTCACAACAGTCAGTGGTGACTTATGGTTTTAAGGAGTATGAAGATTATTTTCCCTGTGCTGACTTGGTCAAAGTGAAAAGATTTTGGCGTTTTTGACCTGCGGGTGCTGCCTAAAATGAACCAGATTTTTCTTTAATCCATCATCCTTGCTGACAGCTGCTAGAACAAATTCAGTGAAGTTTTTCATCAGGAACCTTGATGGTTTTTGATAGTCCTCACAGATCTACAGTCAGCGTTTTGGATTTCAGCAGATTTCTGAGGGCTGATATCAGGTTATGCTGCGATGAGAGACTGTTTACTCATAACTCTTTGGCACACACGGTCGCAGTGAGACAGTGTGGGAGCAGATCTGCCTCCTGCCAAGTTTCACTCTCTGTAATATCATCAATTTACTACCCCTTTACCTTCGCACTCCCCAACTGAGGTCTCTAACTTCTAACTTCCAATCCATCTGCTTCTCCATATGTGGCCCCTGAACGACTAGTTTCCACTTCAGACCTGACTTTAGTGATTTATCAAAAGGAATTTTTTTGTGTTTTTAAGGCATTCGCTGAACGTCTGCCTCCAGTACTGGGTGTCAGTTTACTCCAAAAGCACTCAGCGTTTCCAGTTTCAGAGCTAACAAAGGAGAGTGTACCTCAGGCAGCCTGTGGCGTTGTGAAAAACCTCATCGTCAGCCAGAAGCTCATCTTTTGGGTTCTCGCCTTCTGAAATGCCCGAACTTGGCACAAGGACGTACTTAGTGAGGACGAATAAGGATTCTCTGGACAGACGCTCCTTCAGAAGATCATGGGAAGAGAGGTTCCACAAAAGACCTGAGAGAAAGGAAAAAAACTATAGTGTACTGTTTGTCAAATCCTCTCGAGACACAGAACACGGTTAGAGAACACCGACCTGTGAGTTGTCGCCTGGTCTCCACGTCTCGACTGCTTTTCAGTGCGCTCAGGATCAAGGCTATGCCGTCGTTCTCCTTCACCTCCATCTTGTTTTCGCTGTTCTGGTACACAACGTTGCGTAGCGCTCCTGCTGCCACTCGCTGCACCTCCTCGTTGTCGATGTGCAGAAGCTGCAGGAGTTTCCCGATGCCCCGTAGATAGTACACCTGGACACCAGAGAAGGAAGAATGACTATGAGCTCACGTAAAGAAACATAACATTTCCTCCAGATCACAGTCAATCGACTCTCTAAGCTGTACAACATACCATCTTCTTAGCTTCGATGCTCTTGAAACACTGGTTCTGAATGTGACCCGCTGCACATACGAGTGTTTCCTCGTTGTCCTGTGTCAGCAGGTTCACGGCTCGCTCTAACGTCATCTCTGGGACCTTGTTGTCCGACTTCCTGTGTAGAAACAGATAGACAGGCAACACTGAGTGAAAACAAAAATTGAACCACGATTAGCAGGCTTTAAAAAAAAAGAATTCTTGAAATGAGTAGATGCGAAAGACCCATGCAAAATCACTGTAAAAACTGTTAACAAAAAAATAAAATAACGTCAAAACAGGATAAAATTGCTAAGTTTGAACAAAATAGCTAATGTTAGCCAAATGTAGCGCATAAAAGAGGAATACAAATTGCAACATTTAGCTTTAAATGTAAGCAAAATCAGCTCAAAGTAGATCTAGGATAAAATTTGCTAAAAACAAAGTAAAAAGGTAAATATTAGCCAGTATGTTAAAAGCTAACCACTCAAAAAAAGAAATAATTAAATGTGCCGAAAGTAGTTAAAAACAGAATCCTACAGAGTGAGGCTGTTCTGTGATTGGATCTGCTGGAGAGGCAGCTCCTCGTCCATCTGCCGGCCCATGTCTACTTCTAAACTGGTGGCCGTAGGTGGGTAGGAGTTCAGTCTGCGGAGGGCTTGTGCGTTCCTCCTGATCTGAGCCGACCAGGAAGCACCGTCCTCAGGTTGAACACGGCCCAGTGCCACATCTGCGCTCCTCTCCAGCGTCGTGTGTCTCCTGCTCAACGTCTGGTTATGACTCCAGCGAGAGCCGTAATAATCAGCGCTCTGCTGATACCCTGCGTTAGCAAAGACGGGCAGAGGCGCCGGTGTCTGTCTCAGTGACCTCTGACGGATGCTCCCTTGCGCAGTGGTGGACACCTGCGCCCTGCTCCCACGCTGAGCCTCGGAGAAGGCGTAGCGCTGAAAAGAATCTGGACCAAACGTGTGGTCTTGCACAGGTCCGGACCTCTGAGGATAACTGAGCCCGGGGTGAGTCCCAAACCGCAGGGTGCTGTAGTGGAAGCGACTGCGAGGTAAACCTGGGCTCGGAGGCGGAGACACCTCCACCCTCCTGGAAGGTTTGCGCATGTGGTTGTTGGACAGAGGGTAGTTGGTGTATCCATTCAGCTGTGGAAAACAGGACAAAAAAATTACATTAAAAAAAATCTTAATGGCACCACTGAGGGTACTTTATTTAACTTTTCATGAGGTAAAAGCTGGGGTCAAGGTACTGACCCTCATGACATCTGATCTCTGACCTCATTATTGAGCCATAGCTGAAACCAATAATACGTAATTTCAACATTTCCAATGAGGTTAAATCGAAGGCAGTCACGGTGAACACGACAACAACAAGTTAATGCAAATGAGTCCTCACAGTACTATTTTTGGATGTGCCATTAACAAAGGTGCCGTCTGTAATTTGACCCTGGTCTCGCCATGTAGACTGGATAATCAGGAGGCAACCCATTGACGCAGTGGAAACGTGCGGAGAGCAGGAACAATAAAAATTAGCGACTAACGCTGGCGGACATTAAGTCCTCTCGACATTTACTGCCAACCACTGTTAGAACCACAAAATATTTTTTTTAACTAGCATAAAAAAAAGATGAGGCTTCAACTATAGTTTGATCCTAAACTGTGTCATAAATGTGTCATCAATCACAGTGAGGATCAGGACGACTGTGACAAGTGATGATGATGATGTAGATGTAAAGCAGCTGCAGGACATTTGAATGCACTCAAATGTCTGTGTGGTGTATTTAAAATTGTCAACCTGTCGAGAGTTCTCCAAAAACACAAAAACATGTATGTATGTGTGTGTGTGTGTGTGTGTGTGTGTATTACTCCTCACCTTCACGTTTGGTACAAATCCATCAGCAGCATCAAAGCTCTGAGCCGCGCTCCTCTGTAAGTGGACACCACCTGAGACGAGTCACAGAGGTTTAGTTAGAGTGTACAGTTTCACACTGAAGTCACCTGAACACAAGGCCACACTAGCACCCCCGCAGGTGACAGGAGTGACTACGACAATGGCAGCTTTAACAGTGAGCCTCACTGTTTAAGCTGCCCTCACTCACTCTCTCTCTCTCACACAAACATATACAATGTCTGTTTCACATTGACACAATGCATTCCCTTACCCTTTACCCCAGTGGTTCCCAAAGTGGGGGGCACCACCCATTGGAATTAAGGCAGGTCAAATTGATTTTATTTTTTTAATATATTTTTTATTTGTGCGTCAGTCGGAAAATTAATTAATTAACTTGTTATTTAATTTCCTTTTTATTTTAGGAATTACAAGTCCCACCTTAGCCCTAACTCTAATTCTAAGTCCAAACTAAATAATAAATTTCAAAATATCCTCTTTCCTAGTGGGGACCAGGACATTTTCCCCACAAGGACAAAGTGTCCCCACACCAAAGCATTTTACCCCACAGGTATCGCAACACCTAGACCACAAGATCTTGTGTGTTTTGTAAACTGCAAAATAAATGATGTGGTCACTAGGAAGACGAGTGAATGGCAGGAAACTAGTGGAGAGAAAGGAAATAAAAACAATTGGGTTCATCACTAAATGAAGACTGATTTATTCTCCCCTTTCCATTTATGTTATTTATTCTGGGTCCTTAGAAAGTAAGGAAAGTCAAAGTTGAGGGCATAAAAATGTCAATATTTGCGTCTTAATTTCAGATTTGCTGTATGTTTACTTAGGAACTTTTGAAACAATACCTGATTGAAGATGTGATCTCTGGCTGTGTTTTGTTTAATTTTCTATAACCAAACCATAAAATGGTTAACCAGGAGAGCAGTTAAATTTCTGTTTATCCAGTTTGACTTAAGCAGTGTATCACTTAACATCAGCGTCTTAAATTTCTGTTTATCCAGTTTGACTTTACTAAACTGAAAACAATATTAGTGTCGAGTGGAATCAATGTGCCTTAAATAGAATTTTGTGGAGGGAGATTTTTAAATTTAATTTTATCTCATTTTTAACACAAATGTTCTATGACATTTTATCAACAAAAACAATTATTTTAGTTACATTACATTTACATTTTTTCATGCCCCTCCAACCTACAATCCTGCAAATTAAAATACTTTTTAGAACCCGATAACATATATATTTGAGTTGCTGCCACCTAGTGACTGGAGGCTTGTAATCATTCAAGCATTACAGCAGTGGTACGCTAATGTCCAGCGTGCCATATTCCATTGGAAGCCCCTCACACCTCACCATGCTCCTCAGGGGGGCCCGCCCCACTATTTGAGACTACTGAGGTTAAAGCAGTACTTTAACCTAACCTTCTAAGATCCCAACTACTGCTTTAACCTAACCTTCTAAGATCCCAACTGTCCTCCTGTGATTAAATATAATTGTTAAATGAGCGGATGACTGGTTGGACTTCAAACTGACTCACTCCCAACTGCAAATGTGCACGAGAAACTAAGGGCATGACCCCTGGAGTGAGAGGCAGGAAGTGAGTGACGTATTACGGTTGAGTTTGTCAGCTCCCATTATGTGTCTCCATCAGCCTTCCCTCTGCTGAAACTGAAGGAACCTGTTGGACTAGAAAACTACTTTGTAATGTCGCAAAAATTCCCATCACCCAAAAGTGACCTGTGTTTTAGTAAAAATGAAAGTATGCGTCCACTGGGCTACAGTTCCCACAAAAACACAGACGATGACTCACAAAAGACTACATTTTTGACTGGAGGATTATTAACCTGACGGTCACCGACTCGTCATTTAAGGAAGTCACCATTAACAAAAACAACTTTACATTCTAAACACTGGTTTTTACTTTTTTTTTCCTGATATTCTGCTAATCAGGATGAGGCTAATATTTCAGTTTTGTTCACTGAACACTTAGGTATAACCCAGGATCAAACACACCAAAACAAAATGTAAGATTAAAATAACATAATAGTGAAATCTGCACCAATCTGACATGCTGGCATCACTTTTGATATGTGGACTAATTTTGAGATAAATGAACTTTTAGCAGAGGGTAAATGTGACAGCGACATAAAGACAAATGCTCACAAAGTAATTTAATGTCTTACATAATGGGGCAAAGTATAACAACCACACAGTTGAAGGTTATTGTCATTCACAGCCTGATAAGTTTCTCCTCTTCTACTATGTTTCTTTACAAGCAACAAACAACTTGATTTCCACAAACTCAATACCCAATATTATTTTTATACCTCACTGTGGGGGCAGTGTTCTTTGTGTTAAAGGCCTCTCCCACCTTTGTCCATGCATAGGCAACATCTCTGTAGCTGGGTTTTGTTCAATTTCTTAAAAATAACACACTATTCAGTGTTTGTCATCTTTGTACAGGCTGTACTTAACATACTTCAGTCTGGTTCTGAGGATATGTTTTTGTTAGTCTGTAATCTAGGGACGGTCTCCTTTGGCTCATCTCTTATTCCTCTTTCTTCAGAAAATTCCAGAAATCTTTTACTTGTTTACTTATACAGTCTGCAAGTGTGTGCAGTGTATTAACTTTGCATGTAGTGTTTTGTTTCAAGTGTTGACTGAATTCTTTTGTCGTTGCCAACCAAACCCTGAACTAAGTGTTTCTATGATGAGTAACTGACAGATAAGCCTTGGTTTTCGCCTTATTTCAAATATTAAAATCGTTGCTATGTAAACAAAACTTCCACACTTGTTACATGACTATAAATGGGTCAACTAGTTGATTCATCTATTCGTTTATTACCTGACAACGAGAGAAAAAAAATAAAAATATATCGTTCATTTACCTCTACCACAGTAATTGACAGCGTGAATACGTTAACGAGTGGCCGTGGCCACTGTCTGTTTATATTACGCCAAGTGTCAATGTTCAGAGAAAGGAGGCTTCGGTTGTAAATGTAATAAAACCCCTATTTACACGAGGTGTGGCAGTCATTTATGTTACCATTAGACAGAGTCCTCCTTGCCTTCCGGGCCAGTGTGAGCTGGACCTGCTGCTGAACTCTCAGACTCCGCTCCTTTGACACGGCTTTAACCGAAGCTCTGCCGCTGGGTTCGGCCGGCAGAGCCAGAGTGGTATCGTCCAGTGGGAAAAAGGAGTCCGCAGTGGCGGGAATGGCTGACTTCAGGAACACCTCATCCATCTTCACGCAAACCTGACAGAAAGCTCATTTATTTAACTCCACGTTTGTCATAGACGATCCTGCCGCTTTGTCCTCCCTCTCTGATTCACTCAGGTAAACCGACCTGCCAGCCGCCAGTGGGGAGGGCGGGGCTAAAGACGTGTAACGTGACACCACAGGTGAAACGTCTCTATAACCACGCCCCTCTCTCTGCGTCTGATTGGCTAAGCTTAATATTCATACTGATACAATATTGTGAACTGGAGTCGATTAAAATAGAAAGTTGAGTATGCAGAAGAAATATTCTTCCTCCTCTTCTACTTCTAATTATTTTATTATTATTAATATTATTATTATTGTCTTAATATTTAGCAGTGGAAAATAGTCCCTTAGGTTCGAAGTTACCCATACAAGTAAACTAACTAACATTTATAGTGTTATTCGTGTCATTAAATACAATTTTAAATAGCATTTGAAGCTGGTGTGGTGATTTTTAATTGATGTTCTGGGTTTTAAATCTTTGCTGCATTGTTGTTTTACAACTATTAACAAAAGTATGATTAATCTTTCATAATGTAATCACAAAAAGGACTGTAACAATGTTGCTAAGTAGCACTTTTAGAGGACAAATCTCTGGCTCTCTAAAAGTAGCAGTTTTAGAGGACAAATCTCTGGCTCTCTATCGCTTTCTTTATAGTAAAATGTGATTTTGGTGACACCTGCAGGAACTACTGCAAAGACACCTTAGAAAAGTCAGTGTAATAGACGTGAGACTTTACCCTCTCCCTCCTCCACATCTCTCTCTGGGTTTGTCCTTTTCCTTGTCCTGTGCTGGGCCGGACTTTCCTTCTGATAAAGTCCTTTAAGTGCTGGGCCGGACTTTCCTTCTGATAATCCGATAAAAGTGAGACCACCTGCTGTTTAAATATACTCGGTGTCCACGTTGGTCCAAACCATCAGTATCCAACGCATTCGAACTTTACACCCTGTCACCTGACCATGTGTTAACTGTGTGATACTCGCTGCTCACCAAAACGGATGTGTAGCCTCACAGATGCTTAACGTGGTGGTGAACGGAGGGTGGGGCTGGACAGTGGCACACATTTTGTACAGTGATGTCATTTGATCTACACAATTTTCAGATGCTTTGTTGTCAACCAAACATAATGGAAAGATCGTATCTTCAGTACTTCTTTACCTTTACCATCAAAGGATAAGTGTTTGTAAAATGCAATCTTGTTTTATACAGTATCTAGATGAGGACAATTTGGATAATTCTCAGTTGGGTAAATTACTGTTCATCTTTTAAACTTGAATATATTCTGGTTAAGTTTTTTACGCCAGTGGCTAACCTTTAACTTTGATGGCTATCTTTTAGTCATCCTGCAGCTAATAATTGCTAATAAAAGCTAAATAAAAAGTATAATCTTTAGGTGTTACTCAACCCACGATTATGGTATGTATTATGTTCAGACAAATGTTCAACAATATTTGATTGTTTTTTTTCCCTTTAATTCAATTTTTTTCAAAAAAAAAGTTTTTTTTCCAGTCCAGCTTTTAAAATCACGTTAACATTTAACTTTCCTGTGCATAAACATCTGACGTGTCTCGTGTTTTCTTTGTTTCAGATGTGCCAAACACACTGTTTACACTTTACAATGCACTCAGCGAACATTCAAGGTGTCCAAGTTCTCCTCTTTAGTGTTGTACGAAGAACAGTCACAGAGATCAGTAAAGGCTTGAACTTGAAGCTGCGTTTAACAAGTGTACAAACGTGGTTTTCTCTGAATTATCTGAAATAGTTTGGGCCCAGAAATACTGTTGAAGAATCCATTACATTCCCGGATGCCAACGAACAAGATCACACAGCTCATATGATCTGAAAGCGTCTTGACATCGTGGATCTAATTACCGTTGCAACCTTCACATCTAGACAAATTCATCTTTTAAAATTTGGCACATATTCCGTTTTCAAAATCAACATCACACATTTAAAGTACTCACTCAAAGACAGGGGTAAAAAAAAGGTCAAATGTCAAACAACTTTGATTCAAAAGATTTAAAAAAAATCTAAAATTAAGATTTTGTGACAGAAGTGGAGTTCAAATCAACAAGCCTCAGACCTTACATTCAGTTGACTTTGACTCAGAGCTGTATTTTACAAAACTAGTCTCATAATATGTAATGACTTCATGCTAGGGCTCACTGACGAAGGCCAAAGTCGTTTTTTTTTTTTAACGTTTCTAGGGTGAATAAATACTTTTTTATGTGGGTAACATGTTACATTACATTTGATTTCAATAAATGTTTTCCCTGAAGAAACCAGGCAGAAGAAAAATGTTACAGTAGAATGTAAAATTCCAGTTCCAAGAGTTGAAATCGGTATCCATCCGTCACGGTCTAAAATTCTACCTTTAAAATATTTTGTTATAATGAACAACGACGTGGTTTCTCCGCCTTAACAAAGGGTTTCTCTTTGAATACAACACCTAAAGATGCAACAAGATTTTTTTTGATAACCGATAATTGTGTGTAAAAAGTTCCACTTGATTTCAGATATACTGCACTTTAACCACCCGGCTTCCACATTTAAACACACGTGGCTCTGCATCACCGACACCAACTTTCTGAACTGCAACAAAAACTCTTTTTTTTCTGACATTTGTACATTGTTTAAAAAATATAAAAACATTAGAGCTTTTTACAGGTTCGTTCTGGTTAAAAACACTTCTTTTTTCTTCTAATGCTTTTTGTCTTCAAAGCTATTTACAAACGTCTGCGTAGTTACAAGATGCCTGTCCATATTAGGTTATGTTCCTCGTTTAAAATATATTTTTCAAGGTAGGATGTTTGTCTTTGAGGACATAGTGTTAGAAGATGGACATGGGACTCACTGCTAACCTGCCTGTAATCAAAACTGCTGTAACGAGACTGATAACAATGTAAACAGAGCGTGTGCAGAAGGCTATGTACACACCCACATGACCTGCCCAGTCCTTCGCTTAATTGGCTGGATTTTTGTAAAGTTATTCTACCAATAAGTGACTGATTTCTTTTTTTAAATGGTGCCTTTACTGTCCTAGTAAAAAGCTAACTCTTTTAACCTGATGATCAGATGTTATATTGATATCATCCACATGGCTGTTTAACTGTCTTGGGCAATCAATAAGATCGAAATAAAACCTCATTCTAATGTCAGTATTTAGCTTTTAGTCAAGGATGTTAATTATTAACTTAACAATGTTAAACAATACCATTTGAACTGGATCTTATAAATTAAAGACATCACTGTCTTACAGCATTTTTTTCAAGTACTGGCTACATGACAGAATGACATTCAGCATCACTGAATTAAAAAAATAAAATAAAATTCCTGCCACGATCAAGGCAGTATTACAGTAAAACCAAAGGGTAAAATGGACTCTTCGTCATTGAATTCTTTCACGGTGACATCATGGGAAACACTGATCTTTCCCTGCCTGTAGGTTCAGCTGATGTTTAGTTAAGTTAGTAACATAGTAGCTAAAATTCCACGCTAATCAAAGCAGCGTTGTTGCTAAGGATTTCCAAGAATGTCGTGACTCAGGTCTAGTTGATCGAGAAGGACACGTTCGGTCCCTTTTTTCCTATTTAAGAAAACAAATACTTTGACTTCAGGACTGATCTGGGTTCTTATTTTTACCCTTTGCTTTTAATTTCGAGACGTTGGAACTGAGTTAAATCGAGGCTGATTTTTTTACTGGAAGGAAAAGTCGAAAACAGATACTTGTTTCCCCACTGGGTATGAAAGTGATGGATAAAGAATGATAGCACGGTGCTCCCTTAAAGACTTCTCCTCCTCTACTAAACCTCATCCAACAGTAACGAGAATCCTTAAATCCTGCCACTGCAAATGTCCAAGAACCCCTGAGGGGCCGTGGAGGCGAATATGGAAAGAACATTTGGCTTATTGTCAATTTTGTCAGATTAAAAAAGTGATGTCAGGGAATAAATGTGTCATCTTATGTGTAGTTCTGTGATGTAAGGAGAGAAACGCAACATTTAGAAAAGAAGATAAAAATTCTTAAAACCTGTCAATGTAGCAGGTCTGGGATTTGGTAAAAAACAATCAAAGGTTGAATCTGGAAACATTCTGTCACATGGACATGTTTGGGATAAACTAGCCTTTACTGACTGACTTGAAAGCAAATCCATTCTGCTAAAAAGTAAATGCAAAAAAAAAAAAATCATTAGTGAAATTAGACATTCATACAACGATTTTTTATAAGGCAATCCTTCACCAGGTCAGTCACACCTGCACCGTCTTCTTCCTCTTCTTCAGCTCATCAGTCTGGTGCAAGCAAAAACAAAAAGAAACGTGTCCTTCAGTATCAGCCATTCAGACAGTGTTCCTGTCCGAGCCGTGAGCTCCACCAGCATTTACACGAGTCTTTATCACAGCTCTTTCAATGGCTTTGGTCTGTCCTGCAGCTAAGACTAGAAATGATACATACAAGTGAGTCGAAATTCCAAAAAAAAAAAAAAAGAAGAAAAAAAAAACAAAAAAAAAAAAAAAGAAGAAAAAAAAAACAAAAAAAAAAAAAAAGAAGAAAAAAAAAACAAAAAAAAAAAAAAAAAAGTCATTGGGACCATGCAAGACTGTACAGAATTTCATGTAAACTGTCCGGCTGTGGCAGAACACAAAGATGGAGGATGTGCAGTCCTATCTGCAGGAGGAGCCCAGCACACTCCCCGTTGATGGCGTGTTGGCCGTGGCGCTGTAGTGGGGGAAGTTGTCGTTGGATTGGGGGCTGGTGAGGATGGAGTTCCCGTTGGTGGGGGAGCAGCTGAGCTGGAGCCTCCGCAGGTACTCAGCGTGCACCGGTTTGTGACTTTGCAGCACTTTGATGGCCTCATCCACGGTGAACCATTCCCGTTTGCGACCTGCAGAGGGAGACAGAGATCCAAGCATGAGTTTCGGCATCAGTATCCGTGAAACACAAAGCAATCAGCCAGCCATAAAATACAGTTAATGTTTCTGACAGTGTTGTGACTCGGTAATATGCAAAAGAACAACCAGGAAGTCATATGTTTTAATAACTCCAACATGTGACCGAGTTGTTATCAGTATTACATTTGGCACAGTACACCTACTAAAACAATACAAGTACATTTTACTGCTGTATATGAATGTACTTATGATCAAATGTACTTAATTTTTATAATTTAAAAAAATATTTCTCGTTATTTATGGTCATTCAACCACCAAATGACCTCTCTATTTGAACTGATAACAGTTAATATCACAGCTGTTACATTTTATATGCAACTCTGATGTCTGTGAGACAGATAACACAAGTGGAAGTGAGGAATCCCCAGAGTTTTACAACGCCATAAAACCTGACACATTGTCAGGTTTCTGTTCATCTGTTTATATCGCTGTGAGCTTTAAAAAGCATCACCAAATAAAAAACATCAAGTTAGCTTTTAAAATAATAACAATAATCAAAGCCAAAGAAACCCAAAGAAGCATAAGGTTAATTAAAATATAAAGCTTTGCTAATGGTAAAGGTTAATTTAGAAAATACGGCATAAAAGAAAAAACAAAACAACAAGAGCACCAAAAATATCTTTAACTTTAACCCAATATTTGTTAGCAGTCAAATTAATTACAAAATAGTAAAAATATTTTATTTAAGTACGAGGATAGGTAAAATAGCCATAGTAGTAATATAGTATAGTAAGTACGAGGATAGGTAAAATAGCCATGAATGAATAGATAAAAAAAGGTATAAATAATAATAAAAAAATATTTACTAATAAATACTGAAACTTCATAGCATCAGTCAAAAAAAAAAATCTAGACGGGAAGAACCCTTGTTAGCCCGAGCCAATCAAAACAGCTTACTAATTTAGCCTCACATTTTCATACGAAGCTGGAATTGAGTTGAGTTGATTATAAAGAAGTCATCGGCTGTTAAATATCATTCACACATCATAAATGAATGGATGAAGATAACTGAAATATGACATCGATGTCTATGAACGTGCATTCATATAAGAACACAGCACGTGTCGCTCAAGTTTCACAACAAGTGAGAAAGCAGATGCTGCGAGCTCCGGTTCTCACGCGTACAGATTTAGGCCGCATCCCACTGTGTACATTTCATAGTACGGCTGGATTCTGCAGCCCAGCAGGTCACGGACAGCTCTGAGGTGCTGCAGCTAAGACATACTGCTGCTTCAGATCGGTGGCCTACATTTACAGGCACCTGTTGTCGCAGCCAGAAGCCGGCGCGCACGTTAGCGGCCGCGGCCACTCATGAGTGACTCAAACGTTTGTCTGAAAACGGCAAAACGGCCCGCAGCGGTGCAAGTACCGACGCAGACAAACAACCGCAGCAACAGTGCAGACACAGGGACAGGAGGGGGAACTGTACCTATGTTGACAGAGTCTTCCCAGGCCTCCAGGGTCTCGGTCACAGTCAACACGTACACGTACGTCCGGTGCTTCCTGTCCTGGTTTTGCTTTGGAGGGGAAGAGGAAAGGAAAGGCAGAATTAGAAACAAATATTTATATATATATTTTTTTTTTAAAGAATGAAGCAGAGAGATTCTCGTTTTTTTGGTCAGGTTTCTGCTTTAGCACATTGATGTCCTTCTCTAAAAGGGCGACTTGAAGACATACAGTTGAGCTGAATGCGTAACTCTGAGTGAGTGAGTGTTACTTTTACCCCCCCATCCCCCAGCCTGGGGTGTGATGTGTGAACAGGTGTCAGGTTCACCATGTTCAGACATTCAGATGTTTCACATGTTGATTATGTTGGCCTAGACTGACTGTTTAGCTTGATTGCTAACAGAAAACCCCATAAAATCAATGTTTTTTTGTTTTTTTATTAATGGGTCAAGAGAAACTCAAAAAAATGCCCTCTGCTGGATCATAAAAAAAACAAACTCCAGACCTAGGGCAGGAAGACGACCTGAAATATTTAATATAATAGTAACACTTACATTTAATTTTGAAATTGTTTCCACAAAACTGTTCAAATGTTCTAGTTTCAGATTAATTGATATTTTGGGGATAATTAGATGCTATTTCTGAGCTAATTTTCTTTTAGCTACAGTCGTACCTCGCTGTATTGTGGTTCGTGCCCTCAGTGCATTGCAAATTTTTAATATTTTAAATGTATTCTTGTGCTAAATAATTATTTTTAAAATTCCTATATTTTCATTATGTTTGAGTTTAAATAAGCATTTTCTAGCCTAAGAACAAAAATAAAAAATATATAATTAATATATAAATAATATATATAAGTATTCCAGTGGACTCACCACCCGCAGGAAGGTTTAGGTATGGTGCAATGTGATTTGGGTGGCGACTGCTGCCCCCGCAACCCGGTAACGGATAAGCGGATGAAAATGAATGAATGAATGAATGAATATATATAAGTATATAAATAAAAAAAATAATTAAAAGACATTCTGTAACACATACGTCTAGGGTAGTGCCAGAAATACCGTGGATTCGTAAAAGGGTTAATATATATACGTAAATAATATAATAACTGTTGCGTCTTTACTTCGTGGTTTTTCGCAATCGTGGGACGTCTTGGAACGTAACTCCCACGATAGACAAGGGACCAGCTTATTTTTTAGCTAACTGCATTAGGTCTTGGAACGTAACCCCCACGATAGACCAGCTTATTTTTTAGCTAACTGCATATTTCAAGACTATTTCAACTCTTAGCAATGTTTGCGTACTTTAGCCATTTCCTAGCAAACCTCTCTTGGTGCTTGGCGACCATTTAGTGACTGCACCTCTTGGCTACCCTTCAGCTACCATTTAACCCGTTCTTCTAGGTACAGGCACTTTAAGCCTTTTTGGGCTAATTGAATGGAAACATTTTAGCTATAGCTGCGATATTTGAAAGCAAACAGTCGATTCCTTTTGGTGTTGATGGCTAACTTTTAGTTAACCCCGGGCTAATTTTTTGCTAACCTTAAGCTATTTTACTAGAAATCTGGTCAATATTTAACTGTCTTCTAACCATTTAACATCTAATAGGCACTTTAGAAATAACCTGCTCCTGATGACACCATGACCTACAGAAGCCCAGCTGGACATTTTAGACTTTAGAATCTGATTTAAATATTTTATGATACGGGCTTTTAATCACCCTCTGAAATATTAAGTACAGTTTCAGTCATTTCATTTTGCCTCCAGCTTCATAACAGGGCAATATAAATGCAGTCAGATACAGTGTATATGTAGGTCAGTGTTACCTCAAATACACCCAGCAGACGCCCCAGCTTTCCTTTCACACCGGCCTGGAAGAAACACACGAGTTAAAAATTAGGCTTCTTGTTCACGTTACATGTTTTGCTGCACAAAAACAGAACCCGGATGATATTTCCTTGTGCCCAGCAACAACAAAAAACAAACCAAAAAAATAAAAAAATACACAAGAATCGAGGGTGAAATTGAAAGAGAATAGCAGTATTTAGACCACAGAAAAAATTACACAAGAATCAAGAGAATAGCAGTATTTAGACCACAGACAGTATTCTGAGCCCAAACAATGGCTATTGTGTATGGGATTTCAGTGTTTTACAGGAGTTTGGCTTCACCTCCACAGGCTGAGCTCAGCTCTGAAATCCCAGGCTTTGTTTTCAGGGAGAAATGTCTGACAACAATGACCCACGCATGAAAACGGAGGCAACATCAGCCAACTCAGACGGAGATATTTTTGGATTTCATTTGTGCCCTGCGCAACCTTCCCAGCCTCCTCAGTTTCAGTTAAGCCGTGATAATTATTCCACCCAAAGATGCAAAGACATTTACATGGCATCTCTGGGAGACGCATTAAAAATAATCGGTCATCGTCTATCATCTTTACTGTCGGGGGAGTCGGGGGGAGGGACATCCTACCAGGATCATCTACTTTTTATATCCAACAGTTGTTTTATTCATTCACAAGATTCAGGTTACTGTCAAGACCAGTGACATCTGTCCTTTCCCCTTCTCAGCATACTTCACAAGTGTCACTCTGTCCCCGCTGGAGTGTCCTGCGAGCTGGACAGCGGGGTCTGTTGAAGTGCAAGAATCCAGCCGGGAGCCAAGTTTAGTGCGCTGACGTAGCTGAGAACACAAGGTACTCCAATGGACCACGGCTCTGGAATACCAGGAGCCTCCTCAGTCACCCAATCACTGACACCGCAGCTCTTCAAAAAAAAAAAATCTCACCCTGAGCGCGGCAGCCACGCTAGTCCACTTCTGGACATTTTACCAGGGTTGAACACTAGATAGTCACAGGTGGCTTAGCGGGTGAATGGACGCACATTTGTAACCAAACATAATGACTATAAAAAAAAGTGGTGGCCTAGTAGTTAAGGAAGTGCCGCCTGCTCACTAAGATGATGGGTGAAAGCAGTGTTCCTCAAATATTTTCTGTCATGCTCCCCCTAGGGGACAAAAGTTTTTAAAACCCCCCTGCCCAGAATTAAAATACTATTGAGCGCCTGGTAACATTTACTTATTGATTCGTACAAACCACTGTATATATATACATATACACACATATATATATATATATACACATATACATAAATATATATTTATATATATACATACATATACATATATAGATACATATACATACACAAATATAAATATACACATATATATATTTATATATATGTATGCATTTTTTCAATTTCATCCAAAACCTCTCTTTTAGAACAGACATATGTGGAATGATTTACACCGAGGACTGCTTGTATTCACCTCTTCAAACACCTCTCTGATAGCAGCTCCACACGGCTCCTCCTCTGGCTCCATCCCTCCACCAGGGACGATCCACTGGTCTGGATGCCGACTGCTGCTGACCAGCAGGACCTGTCAGGCAAAAAAAAACACAACTCCATGGCTGCGCACATTTGGTTTCAATCTTTTGTTTTATCTCGCTGCGGAACGAGGAATGAGCGTCTCTGTGCGTCTGTCTCCTGGAGACGGGGGCACCTGTGTCACAGCAGGGGGTGAGCATTGAATAACAGCCTGAGGAAAAGGAAGAAGCCTTGACTCCCTCCTTGGTTTCAGCTTGTTTTTTAGGCGGGGAGCTAAGAAGGGAGTGATGATTCAGATTTCTCTCTGTGACTTCACCCTGGCCTTGTCATTTAGAAATTGACTGATTTGACATGAGCCCTGACCCTTTGACCTTTCCGAGTCAAAACGACTAATGATGACTAATGGTGTCTCTGTGTTGTTAAAGACTACATGTGACTGACCAAACTTCACATCTTCTTGTTTTTTGCCATTGCCTCATCTTCTTCATCTACCACCTAATCCTCCTCAGGGTCACGGGGGGTTGGAGCCAATCCCAGCAGTTATCAGGTCGAAGTGGGGGGTTGTTGAACAGTCCATCTCAGGACCACATACAGAGACAAACAACCACTCACACCAACATGGCCAGTTCTGAGTGAACTAGAACAAATCCTGCATTTTTTGTTGGACAGTGGGAGAGAATTACAAAAACAGCAAACGACTACTGCCACCATGTGGCCTGCCTTTGCTTTATCTACAAATTATAAATAAATATAATATAATATCAATAAAAATAAATAAATAAAGGTTGGGTTATTCAGACAGAGGCTTGACTGGCCTGCCTGCAGTCCAGATTGAAGGTGGATTAAGATTACAGGTTTGTTTTTGGATTTCTTTTATAAAATTACATTTCCTGTTGCCTGGTGATTATAACAAGGATATTTTTTAAAGAAGTGCAATAAATGAGGGGGAGTGAGAGAGAGACTCCAGTGTAAAGATTTGTTGGTGGATCAGAGACAGTTAAGGTCCAGTGGATCCAGTGGATCCATAAATTAAAAAAGTGAAGGTCCAGTGGATCCATAAATTAAAAAAGTGTCAGAGTCTGTAATTGAATCCGGTGCCATTGGTTTTGCCGTTATTAGTTGTTGATGTTGTTATGACCTGCTTTCTGTCACAGGCTGCGTCTCAATGATGACTGATCGACTCCCTGCATATGTGAAAATGTTTACAGCGGCCGCGCTCGTCTCTGTTGTGATCGCTCTCTATGCGGAAACTGCCAGAAACTGCAGACGCGGGCATATGTGATCCGAGTGGATCAGTGTCCGCAGCAACTGTGGTGTAATTCAAACCCCCCTGCAGGTCGCTCTGGGGAGCACTCACAGAATCAGTGAGGCTCACGCTCGCCTTTACATGCTTTGTTTGCCGGGGGATCTGCTGGAACTGACACCGACTCTGATTGAGCTTTATCAACAGACTGGAAACCCAACCCTAACAAATACAGTAAATACGTTCTGAGGGGAAGTCATTTAGGAATCCTTCAGCTGGTCGCTACGTAGCATTTCAGTGTTGATATGTTATTTTTGTAGCCTACCAACAGGTTAGTAGTGACTGTTAAAAATGTTTCAAGGGCATTTTGTTAAAAGCTAACAGTCAGATGTTTTCACAGATGTAGAATGTTTGGTGAGTTTTTTTTCCCACCTCTAACCTTTAGGTACCTGTGGTTGTTTTTTGTTTTTTGTTTAAACATATAAATGTGCACACTAGGCCACCAGGGTTTGTTTTTTTTTACATTAAAATAATTTGTTGTACATACCTGAAATATAAATACTACAGAAATACTGTGCAAGAAGTAGTTTTAGAAACAGATGGTGACATCCACCTCTTCCGACTACTCCACCACCACAATAGTTTTCATCCCACAATCCTAATAGGATTGTGGGATGTTGAAGCATCCTTAGGATTCTCTTTTAAGGGCAAGCGGCCAATCAACTGAACCACAAAAGGTGAGGTCCTGACAGTGAGCGATGTCGACTGCTGGCTTTCTCACGTGCTGGGCTAACTCCCAGTCAACCACCTGCTGATTCTCAGACGATGTAGGTTAGGATAAAGGCGGGTTGAGCAGACACATGGCTGCATGTGTGACACTACACTTGAACCTGTGAGCTTACTCACTTACCCACGGTCATTTGTGCCAACAACTGCATTTTTTTTATTTAATATTTGTAAGACGTTATGCTGCTCATCTATAACATGGCAAATAATATCTGAAATTTTGGAAAACAAAATCTGGTAACAGAAGGAGCTCAATAGAAAGTCAGCTAAATCCCAGATTTGTCAGGAGGGATTTCAGGGAACTGAAAGTTTTACTGTTTTTTCTGCTATATGCATGTTCATTATAGTCATATATATACGGCATTGTTACATTAATCCTCACTGAGACTTTGTTGATCTTTTGCCAAATTGTGTTGCCATTTCCCAAGCTGCTTATCTTCAAGTACTTTTTGGCAAATGTATAGCCTAGGTTGCCAAAAATGTGTCTAAATTTGAAATTTGGTAGCAACCAGGGACTGAAAAGTCAACATTATTGTATGGTTGCGGCCATCGTTTTGTTGCACGTCTTTTAATGGGTTTTATCCATTGATACGACCCAATGAAAGACACATTCATTCACTGGGGTTTTTGGGGTGTTGGGCCTTTCAAGAGCCCTGGCACAATCTGCCCCACTGTCTGTCTGTTCTGTTTGGTCTGTGGGCTGCTGACTGAGCCACGTCCAACAAGGCTTTAACTGGGATCAGCTGGTGTCAACGTGTCCTCAGTCCGACAGTGTGGCCTGTATACAAAAAAAATGCCACAGAGCTTTTCAGGGCAGCGACTAAACACATTTCTGCTCCACTGGCTCCATTTTTGTCTTTTGGTTGTTGTTTTGCCACTGCAGGCTGTACTTTGATTTTGGAATGTAGAGCACTGAATCAACATATTACAAAGAGTGTATAATTAAGAACCCCGTTCTTCACAAGTGCTTTTGAAATGAACACAGCCATTTGGTTATTTCCATTAGGGAGAAGAAGTGGCTTTTAAAGCTACAGTTTATACAGTTTGTGTTTCACCAACTGGTTTAGAAATGTAGGAGAAATATAAAAGTATACGAATATGAGATGATAATAATGAGGGTTTAACAAGTGTTGCAGTTGATCAGTTTGATGTAGCAATTGTCACCATCACACTAGAAACCTCTACACAGGGAATGAACCAAAAAACATCGACAGAAACCTACAAATAAAATATATAATGTCATCTCACAACAGATGACATGCAGCTGAAAACTAAAACTACCATGAGGAAGGTAGACACCTGGTTGTTGATCACTGACCTCTAATAAACAATACTTCCAACATAAGAAAACCTGAGAATGTCAAACCAGAACTGAATAACTCACACCGCCATGACACCTGGGTCAAAGGTCAGCTGGCAGCTGAATTCCAAGCACAGAAAACTCCTATACTACTATATGCAGAAAGAAGCACAGAAACAACCCTAGGCCAACCGTAGTGTTTCCTGGTGACATTTTGTCCTTTTCAACCAAGACTACTACTTACTGGGGCCCCCCAATGTGAAACGATGCGGACAAGTTCTGGGGCCCCGTACAGTAAATCTCCCCAATGATGAAAAAGAACGCTCCGGACAAATGTCAAGGTCAGTGTCCTGGCTGACGTTTCTGTTCTCTCTCAGTTCCTGATTACACAAGGTCTTTGTGATGGATTTAGAAAATGAAAAGTCAGACTGTTCATTTTGGAGACATCAGCGCTGCCAGAGGTTGTAAAACCTTAGCAGTGGTTCTGATGGTAGGTCTTCTGGCACCGCCTCAAACAGGGGCAGGAGGCAAAAATATTCTTGAAGACATAAACACCTCCTGCTCCCCCAAGGAGCAACGCCTGTAGCTGTCCAATAAAGAAGGTTCTAAATGCCAGGCCATGCCGGCTCCCAGGAGCAAGTAGGGGACGAGGAGTCCACACCACAACTTCATTAAACAGGTATTGAAAAAATGACTCAGGGAAAAGTCAAAAACAAAGCGTGTAACTCACAAAACTTCTTGAAACACAACTTGCATTGAAGACTGCCGTCTCTCATCTTCTAAATTACTTTATTTACAAACTGTTTGCAACAATCTTGAAGGTTGTTTTGACAAATGTGTGGTACTGATTTCAACACAAGTAGTTGTGTACCAGCTGTGGCCAACGTTTTTTTATTTGCCACGTCGAGCTGAAACATTTCTGACACACTTTCCTGAAAATCCGGACACCTTTTGTCCGCGTTAGCCCACTGTTTACTTTTGTTTTCACCCCCTTCCTTTTTCCATGTTCGGCTTTTCACAAAATGCCACTAAATGTTTGGCAACTCATTTCGCACTCTGTCGGTCTGGCATTTGGTCCAAGGACGATAATGGGCAGTTTGTTTTTGGAGCTGCCTGCTGCTGGAGACAATGATGATTAAAACTAGTTAGACTAAACAAGTCAAAGAAGACATGATTCAAAAAACTTTTTTTTTTTTTTTTAGATTTCTGCTCCTCTAAAGTGGATAATCTGCATGATGGCAGGTTTACTTTGACCTCTCTTAATGACTGCTGTGACTGTCTCTACTCCCCCACTGACAAGTTGGTTTATGAAATATTATTGTGCAGTGTTTTTGTTTTTGTTTTGAGTCAGTGCACAACAATTCCCAAAGCTATATGAGCAATCTGCATAAGTTAAATCTGGCTATCGCTTGATATTGCAGAAAATATTTTAAAAAAAATTGGTATGCTCAAGATCAATATCTTAATCACAATCTGAAGTGTTTATTTTGCTCATTTTATTTGGGGTTTTGTACAACCATGCCTTCCTTTTGAGGATGTTTCGGTCTCTGTTTTGTCTTTTTGTGAACACAATCTCTTTATTACGCACCTAATCCGAAAACAGGTTCTGTCAAGTATAACGCCAGGGTAAAAAAGTTCACAAAGTCCCCTGTGTGAATTTGTTTTTAAATCTTTATTACATATTAGTCAAATGGCTGCGTCATTATCATCAGGTATTTCATTAAAGGAGTGCTGCTGGCACACAGACCCTGAGCATCCTGTATTCTGTTAAACTCAGAGGTGGCATTCTGTTATCACTGCTCTCCCTCTACACTGTTAGTTTCCTTATTTTCCTTGTCGGGACTTTAATTGCTGTCAGTGGAACTGGTTCTTAAGGCTCAACTTTCTCTCGTCCGATCCAAAACACTCCAGCAGCATGTTCAGCTCTCGTTACACTACAGTGTGGGTTCGAGTGTCTCAGACTTTATTGTGCATGTGTAGGTGCATGTTCAAGATAGCATCAGATCAACAACAAAAGATGTGTCCTTTAGCAAAAAAAAAAAAAAACAACAAACAAAACAAAACAAAACCGTCTGAATCTTTTGACTGAAGCAGTGGCTTTTTCTGTGACTGTAGCAGACTTGTCAGAACCTGAATATTTTGACAGTGGTCACACCCACACACTTCTGTTGTCACAATATTCTACAGCTGTCCTTTCCCATTATTACAACAGTTAAAGTGTACAAGCAAGTTCTGAGACATGGAGACAGCAAAGTAAAAACACAAGGAGCCATTTTTGGAAAAACATAAATCCATAAATCCATCCAAAATCATCAACAGTTTTATATAACTCCTCGTCATTTCATGGATGTGCACTTAAATTCCTAGACACAATGACGTAACATCTGAACACCCACAGGTGAGTGGACAGGCTTTTATGTTTAGGGTCTTTGGGACTAAAGAAACACTTGAAGTCCTGGACTGAGTTTGTTTGTCTGTCCAATTAGCCACACCAAGGTATTTCTGCTATATAACTGTTGACACTCGACAGTGAAAGACAAGACTATATTTAGAGGAGCACTAATTGCCACAATAAACAAGATATGGCCTTGATTTGTTAACGCACACTGAGGCCTGGCTAATATTAGTCCTTCTAACAAGGTGTGTGACGCTTCATGACGCACAGAACAACCTTATCAAAATACAGATTGTCTGGGTGTTACAACTGCTTTAATTTGGCTTTGTTTCCATAAACAAAATGAACATTCAAAACCTAACAACATTCTCACCTCAAACAGTCATTTTAAAGCTAATTCTGCCCCTTCACACAAAATTCTTTTAGATTTAAACAGCACATGTTTTTAAAGCAATCAAGTGTTTGTTTAGCAATAAAACAACAATTAGACAAAAATGTCCAACTTAAAAAAAAAACAATGGGCAGTTTCCCTAAGATTAACATATGGGCATATTCAGCATATTTTTTACAACTTTTAGGAATATATGTATTCAATGTTTTCAGATCCTATCGGTATCATACTAGTATTACTTCAAAAACTACACATCCACTAACTGTCCTAAAGACCAGTTTACTAGTTTTGTTTGCATTATTTCAATATTCTATGGTGGAATACTGGTCCACCAAAGGGAACAAGTTTGTATATTACACTCAATAATAAACTCTTGATTAGCATTAGCAGAAATTGCCACAATAAACATCAAGGCTGAATCTAGAAATGTTTAGGCATAAACAATACCTTGAATCATTATGAGATACATTTCCCAAAACAAAAACCAAAGGAATGAATCAGAAGGTCATTCTGTTTTTTCCACAGGAACCAGCATAATCAAATATCTTGGTGGATAATAACCAAACCATAGGCCCAAGAAACAGCAAAGGTAACACCCCTGAACCTCTAAAAAATAAAATACAATAAAATAAAAATGTAGAACAAAAAAGTTACAAATCCGACATTGCAACATGAAACAAATTGTTCCATAATTATCTGAAATGGTATCTAAATATATTCCCTAAAAACTAATAGTGGTTAATTTAAATAAATTTAAAGTACTAAGTTAAATGTCAGTGGCATGGCAATAAAGCAACAGTTCTAAACTAGATATAATCTATGAGGCATTCTGCTTGAGCATATGAGGAATTGTTTCTGGGGAAATCCCTTTTAGAGCAGGGTTTACTGCGATGTATATCATAGAGATACGTCCTGACAGCAATAAAAGTCTCGTACCATACAGTTAAATATAATATAAATTATATAGTGACTGTCTCTTTAAATCCTCCGCGCGGCTGCCCGCTCACACAGGCCGGTGGGATGCATTAACAGCATCATGGATGGTCAGCGACTGTCACAAGAAAGTTATAATGTCGTACACGTTAAAGACGATCAAATATATTGTACGTTCACAGAATTGTACAATGTCTGATGATTTTAAGCAGTTTTTTTAACGAAAAAGTACAGCAGAGCGCCTCGCCCCCTTTCTGTTAGTTACTGCAAATCAGCAAGAAAGGACGGCAAATGTTCTTTCAAAATAAGACCACTTCCGTGAGCAATTTAGTCTGTTTGAAGGAGGGTTACGTAAGAGGATTTTATTGTGAAAGTTGCAAGTTTTGTTTGCTACTGACTAAAGTCTCTTTGACAGCAGTAAATTTTCTCCTTTTCCCTTCGTGCTCCTCAAACTAGCCCAAACTGGATGGCCTGAGGCGCATCACACCGCAATGTGCACAAAACAAAACAGTGGCCTTAAACCAGACACATAATAGTTCTGTCTATCACAACTGTCTTAAAATGAACCCTGTCTCATAAATGAATTTAACATTTAATATATCTGAGGTAGAAAATGTGCATTTCTTTATACAAGCCGGTCTCTTACCTCTTCTTCACGTTCATTCTTGAAGCACAGACAAGCCGCTCGTTTCTTGAAGCCCTCGCCATCATACGTCCTGGTCTGGTTCGGTTTGAGCTTCATCCTGGGGTAAATCTCGGCGTCCGTTAAAGAGAACCGGCAAAAATAAGGACAAGGGCGAAAAGAAGGAGTAGAGTGAGAAGGGAGTCCAAGGAGTTAACAACAGAGTCGCCGCATCGCTGCTGCTGTTTTCTGCATCCAAGCTCCACCGCCGTCTGTCACACAAGGAGTAAAATGGTGGGATGGCAAAACCGGCTTTAACTGGGAGTCAGGTTTGTGTTCTCCTCGTCTCTTGAAGTGGTGAGTGTGGGATTCTCGCAGGCGGACAGAGATCTTTATATGTAGACTACAGCCTCCAGTTCACAGCCCTCCTCCGGACCCATTTGCGCATGGCTGCTGCTTCAGTACAATGAACAGGCGGACTAGAGTTCAGGCACACAGATCACTCCTCTGAGGTAGCGCAGCGATGATTGGTTGGCTTCAGCCTGAGTGGGCGTGGTCACAGTGCTGGTCAAAACAGAGACAATAAACAAATGCGTAATTGGTGCTGATCTTCATGGTGCAGCAGCAGTAAGGTTTGACAGCTTGGTTGACATATTTGTTTTTTCCCAGGATACATCCTGTTAAATGATTGACTTCAAATTTAATCACCGCCTCAAAAGAAAGAATAGTAAGATAGTCAGTAAATTATAGTATTAAACTACTATTTACAAACCTAACTGCCGTGGTTCCCATGATAAAATCCTTATACTTGGTCAAAATAATTTGATAAAACTAGTTAACAACACCATCCAGATAGTTACCAAGTCACAAATCAATTGGTTTAAAGCTGACAGGATTTCAAGCTCTCTATTCTCATCTCCTTTTTGGTGACATTCGGGTTTTTCCCCCCCAACAGGCAGGGCAACTTGTCAGATTAGGAAAACACAGGTGTACACAATAAAAAAGAAACTTGAGGCTTAAATACCACTTTCCCACTTTAATATAAAGCTTCACAGTGTTGTTTATCAATGTCTCATCGTGGAGGATTATGGGTCATTGAAATAGAACAGAGCGATTGTTAAAGGTATTAGGGGCACCTGTGATTTTCCTACTACAAAAACACTGAATCTGCTGAGGTGAACTGCAGTTGTGATTGTGGTTCCATTCACTTGGTGCTGGTTCTCAGCAGGATCTACACGGTTTCAGTGAGAAAGCAAAATAAATCACTTAAAAAGAATCTGAAAATGCCACAAATATGTTAAAAGAATTGCTACATGGCAATTGTGGAGAATCACAATCATGTCATTATTAAATTTAAAATGCAGAATGTGAATTTTTGAAACAACATTCCATGTTTCACCTGTAATATAAACACACATCTGTCACTTTGTTTGCCTATGGAAAGTCAACATGTTCCACTGTTTTTCAAGGAGACGAAAAAAAATTGTCTTAAATACTTTGACGTTCTTTTCATAATTGGCATAATTGTGCTCTGTGTCATGTACTACATGTTTAAAAACTGTTTTCCTGAAGTAAAATGTAACCATTCTGAACTCGATCTGAGCAAAATCAAGATCGCTGTGTTTACACAAGTCAAATACACGACTAAAGGTATGTTAACAGACATATTTGACACTTCTTACATAAAATGTGTGTTCCAGCACCAGGTATGAGGTGTGTCATAAAACATTCTGTCTGTGAATGACAGCCACTCCTTAATGAGCTCATTAGAGTAAAATCTGACACAGTGCTATCTGCTGACCCTCCCATGTTGTGACTGTCCGTGTTAAAGTCACCCTAGTTTTTTCATATAAATGACAGTCAAATGATTTATGTCTGGACAGGAGTTTTTTTGTATATTAAACATAAAATGAACAGAGTCTAAACATAGCCATACATTAGGCCACAGTATAACTTGTTTTGTCGAAGGTTCTGTTCTGTTTTATCTAGTTACCTTCATCATGCTCAGTCCACCTTTGACCTGACCAATTGTTTGGAGACAAACAAGAAAGACACCAAACAAAAAGACTTCTGTTGTTGAAAATACAGTACAAGGGACAGGGAGCTGCTTTGAACAACGCTGGTCAAAGGTTTTACTTGTTTAAGAAGACGTAGTTAGTGTTGTGTAATTGTCATTTACACAATAAGAAAAAAGAACAAAAAGCTACAGCAAGCAGAAAATAGTGAATGTTTTAAATTTCGTTACGTTACAGATCAATTTCTCTCCCTCGTTAAAGTACAGTTATAGAGCATATTAATTATAGTTAATAGTTAGTCTGGAGTGAGTTAAAATCAGGGAGAAAAAATATCTAAAAGCTAGCCAGAATTAGCAAATAGCTAAAAAATTAAACTTACACAGGAGATGGCCTAAAATAACCAAGAGTTGAACATCTTGGATTATAATCCAGGACTGGCACAAATTTAGGACATCATTTCATTCATGTTACACATTATGTAACATGACTGCGTTTATAAAATGATGACGCAATCGGTGCCAGACACATGAGCAGTAATTAATTATGTAATTTGCTGGAGCAGATGCCAGGCCACGTTATCGTCCTGATGACATCAGTCACCTCACAGGAAGATGAATCTCTCTGTCACCGGGCTATTCCGAGTGGTTTGTCATCTATGTGCGTAACGTCGATAGGGCAATAAAAGAGGTCTCTTTTTAGCCAAGGATCTGGTGTCTCTTGGCCCACACTGAGACAGATGGGGGGGGGACAAAGAAGTCAGGAGTGAGTGTCTGTCCATCACACAGGGGACATCTGCTGTGTGAAGATAACAGGTGAGCTCAGAGTGTGTCCACCACATGGAAACGCTGGCGTGGGTACACCACAACATTTGTCATTATTTAATTCACTATTCACACAGCGATTAATTGTGTTACCAAATATACAGTGATCCGCCCTCTCACACTTCACTGTGTCTTCTTTTGATAGTGTAAGGATCACAGTGTTGACTCCTTCTGTCTATAATGTCCTGAGCTCATTAGCCTACCCATTATGCTCTTCTCCGTCCTCGGCGCCAAGCATTCAAACATAAGGCCTTCTGCCCAACGTGGAAAATTAGAGCCGCATCTGTCCAAGTGACTTTGGACAATAAAAGACACAAATAGACAAGTTAGGGACAATAAGACAACGGAGGTCATCTCTTAAATTTAGCTCATGAATATCACAGAGTTGGTATCAGGCTAATTTTAGCCAAAGCCAGCTGTTATGGTCTTCATGATAAGACCCTTAGATTTGAAATAAGGCTTGAGCAAACTAATTCTTCCCATATTTATTCACACAACTGTGAAGGGGTATTAATAAGGATGAGGTGAAGGTCTGCATCCACTGACAGGCTGCCAAGGTTGATGAGATGGACGTGAGCTGCTGTCAGGTTGTAATCATAGAGACAGTGAGGTTCATGTTAGAACAGACACAGTTTTCATTCTGTTCAATGCAACAACACATGAATGTTTGCTGGACATGCTGTCCATGTGACAAAGAAACCAAAAAAAAACTACATTCAGGGTCAACATTTGTTCAACTATTTTCTGGAGCCACGTGGCTAAAGGCTAGGGCAGTGTTATTAATTTGCATTGCTACCAGAGACCAGCACAACCATTTTTTGTTGGCAGTTTTGCATTTAGTTCTGATCTACTATTGTTCTGCTAAAGGCTAGGGCTGTGTTGTCAACTACTCAGGTAACATATGCTAGCACAAAAATGCTATATTAGCTTAACACGTAACATTCCACTAAATTTACTGTTTATAGCTGTTTTATGATTCGTTTTGAAAAGGACCACAGTCTGAGACAATAGTTCTGTTTAACCTCGCTACTTTAGCTTTATTACAGCTACTTTTGCCAGTTTGTGAACACTCATCTGGCCTTCTGTGGACATGCTGCTACGTATAGGCTAGGGCGGTATTAGCAACTAGTGCTCTTCTACGCTAGTAAATAGAGCGCTAGAATGAAGACAAAAATATTATAAGTATATCATTGTACACTCTCTGATGACTGGCGTTTCATGTTTTAGAGGTACCGCCCGATTCCACAATTAATTTAATACAACAATGATAGTCTTACTTACAGTAAACGCTGACACAAATAAAATCGATGCTGAAATGCTTCATAAAGCCCAAGGGCAACAATGCAGAGTCATAATAGCACTGCAGGTTTTGCGACAACGAGCGACACTTATTACAAACATCAGCCACCAACAGATCCAAGGAACCTTTTCTACTTTGCGGGGCATGAGATCACAGCGGTAAACAGGTCACATCAACACGTCTCCTAATGGTTTACGGGCTGCAGCAAAATAAACACAGGTCTCAAGGCTGCAGATGAAGGTATGACAATAACTTGCTTGTGAGGCCTGAAGGACACAATGGCTGCTTGTTGGCGCATATTTAAAGCCTGTCATTATGATAGCTGAGCATGAAATAGACTCAGCAGGGTAAACATCACTTAAGGGTTAGTGTTATCGGTGCGATTGGTGAGACTGGGATAGTAAGAGAAGACATGGAGTTTTCAGTGTCCAGACTTATTAAAACATATTTAGCTGTTAGTTTTTTTATTTTTCTGTAAAAAAGCTAAAGAAAAGGTTAAATGGCACCATTAAGTACCGCGGGCGAGTTCTACCTTCGAACAACACTTTCCCTCACAATGATGCCTCTGTCTCCTGGAGGTAGAACAACAACACAGACACTCTATAATCATGTGAAGATTTGGTTTTAAGGGGGTATAAACAAACCCAGACAGTGACAGTGTGATTGCCAGAATGTGGGAAAAGAAGTCTGAGACCAAACCACACTGCAGTGATGGCACACACAAACACACAGTGAAAATGATTCATTCGTCCAAACAGGTTGGTTAAATCTCAAAATATAACCATGACTATGTTTTGCATTTAACCGAAATGCTCACGGTGCTCATGTGCCTATTTTGACTGCAGTGTTTGAGTCAGAGAGTTAGAGTTTGACCTTGTGGGAACAAACAGTCTCTACTTTGATTGAATGGCTGTTGAGAGAGTCCGTCTTTTTTTTTTTTCTTTTTTTTTTTTAAATACCAGTTTGGGCGCCTGAACTTTGATTTTGTTTTGGGACAAAATTATTGCTCACAAACAAAAAACAGAGTCTAGAATTCTGCAAATTCTTGTCACGGGTGTGGCACCTGCTAAGGTAAGGTACTGTATACGAGACAGGAGTCGGCTGAGTGGGCAAATAAGTAAGAAGTATGTAAGTAAATATCGTATACTAGGTAAACACTTGTTTACACTTGATACCAACACTGCAACAGGGAGTATCAGGAAATGCCAATATCAGCCAATCACAGCGTCTTATCTCCAATCTTATATTATTATTAATACCCTATTGTTAACAAACTTTGTACATCTGTAGCCTGTACTTGGATGTATGGATGTACTTTGCTTAATATATACATCTAAGAAAAACCTACTTTGTTCAAACTGCAACATAAATATTACTCTCCCCTAAAGGAAAAAAATAGCTCACAATGTGACTCCAGTTATGAACACG